CTCATACCAGGGGTTCTGTGTGTTAGGAATAAAGAATAATGGTTTGGAACCGCAGGTGGCTTGTTCCCAGTCCTCGCTGGGACCTTGAGGATTATGCTCCTGCAGCGAGTGATGGACAGTGGGCGGATGGAGACACAGAGACATGTAGACATGACTCATATTAAAAGTTTTATTGAGGAGGAGATAAGAAAATAAGAGAAGGAAAGAGAGGAGAGGCACAGAGACAGGACAGAAGAGGAGGAGGGATGGACATTCTGCCTCTTTGGGGGGACAGCTGGAAAAGAGAATGGAAGTGGGTGAACATTTTCTTTTGAGGAGCCAGAGTACACACATCTGCCATGCGCAGGTGGGTGAGAGGCGGGGCTGGGTTTGCCTGGACCACAACACGATGCACTAGAAACCATTGAGAGGAAGTTGTATTTTCCATGTTAGTGAGGGGAACAGAAGGCTTATTACACGTCACTACAGATTAGCAGGGGACCACATAATGCAGTACCTTGTGCCAGCAGCAGGTAATTTTGGTATCTCACTGCTGCTGCTCAGGGAGAACAGAGCAGACCAAGAAGTAGCTCCTTATTCATATTCGTATCAACTTGTGTTTTCTTATCAACATGGAGAAATTAATCTGCTCTTCGTGGTTTTCATTGTATCAGCAGATTTTAATCTGATCTCATGTTTGTTTCCGAGGCTGAGTTTCTGTCTTGTCACTGGCCTTCTTTGGACTTGTAGCTCTCCCTATGCTGACCCTGACCCTGGGTAGATTGGTACTTGAAACCTTGAGTATGTTTCCACACCCCACTCCAGTCCTTGAGCCCAAGGTTATGTACTCTTGTTTATATGCCTATTTTTAGCTGGTTTTTAAATCTAGTTCTGTGACCTTGCTTAGAATCTCATTCCTGGCATTCATTCATCTATCCAGACCTTGGGGTTTTGAAGTGCAAAAACAGCCCATAGAGCTTACTAATGTGTATCTGTTGACTAGAGAAATTAGCAGGTCTTGGTTCCAAAATTTTCAAGTGCCTCTCGTTGGCTTTCACTGTGTGGTACTCCTTTGACACTCATATGTGACTCACAATGTTACTGCATAGTTTTCACTGAATATTTACTGTACATTTTATTGATACTAGCAAATTGAATAGTCTTTTGCTATAGTTTTGCTGGCTTTAGCTTTCAGATCTTTAAGTGTCTATGGTGTGCAGAATGTTACTTAACTCTGAAAGAAGATGTAAACGTGTAAGACTTAGGGCATAGCTGTATTCTTAAGGGATGGAAGCTGCAGAGATGCTCTAGATACATTAGAAACTCTAGTGCTTTTGCTTACAGTTGGCTGTCAATGAGAGTACTCTGTGTTGATAATGGCTAAGGTGTGCTGAGTATCTCCTCTCTGCTAGGAAGCATTCAGAGCTTAGTCACTCAGTCACATACAAAACAGGAATTTATATGGAGCTCATTTTGCACGTGAGGAGACTGGGCTTGTGATCAGGGATTCTCCCACCACTGCTCACATAGTAAGGACTGAGGTTCAAGCCCAGGTGCTCTTGCTTCCTCACCTGCTTTCCCAGCCCTTGGATTACCCTCTTCCTCCATGTATGGAAGCTGTTTCTTTCCACTCTCCGATCCCTGTCTTCTCATTACCTGACCACTCCTCTCAGACCTGTGTTCTGGCATTCTTGACTGCTTGAAGCCCTTCAGAGGACGCTGCTTTTCTTTGTGGCTTTCTTTGCTTTTTTTGTCTTGGCACATGTTTCTACCACTACTATTTACACTACATTCTCCTTTCCCCAAGATAGGCTTGTTCTGTTCCTTTATGTGGCTGCTGTTGAGTGAGTTAGAGAATAGCATGGTCTACTTTCTTGAGAGAGAACTCCTTTGGAAACTATCTCCTGACTCCCAGCATGTAGTAGGGGTCCATCTCTCTTCTCTCTTCTTCTCTCTTCTTCTCTCTTTTCTCTCTTCTCTCCTCTCTCCTCTCTCTTCCCTCCTCTCTTCTCTTCTCTTCTCTCTCTCTTTTTTTTTGAGACAGGTTTTTTTTCTGTGTAACCATGGCTGTTTGTCTGTTCTAGAACTCACTCTGTAGACCAGGCTGGCCTCTGCCTGCCTATGCCTCCCAAGTGTTGGAGTGCTGGCGTTAAAGGCATGAGCCACCACTGCCTGGTGTAGGTTTCCATCCTTTGTGCTCCCTTAAACATTCAACATGCTACAATATTTGACATTAGTTCTTATATTGATTGTAACTGCTAGTTTTATCATTACATTGGATTGAGTTCAGGGTTTTGTCACCTATCCTAGCATGTGGCCCAGACTCCTCTTAGATGAGTAAATATAAAAGTCACCATGGAAGCTGCTTTTTAGAGTATCTCAAGTGACCCTCCTCTTATTAAATTATTTATGCAGAAATCTGTTGTGTTCGTGACCAATGACTGTTGCTTAGTTTATTTTGCATTTTGACTGGAGGTTGTCCCAACCCACCAAAAAAAAAAAAACTTCTTCCTGCTTTACTGTCCAAGGTTATTAGGTATCCCCACACTGTTTTTTTTTTTTTTTTTTGGAGGGGGGTTCTTCCGGAGATATATCTACTGTGTCAGTTTGTGAAGCTTCTATCTGCAGGTCTTCTTAGTGAAATGGCAGTCTCCAAAATCTTCACCCTGGTAGGGAACTGTAATCCCTGACAATTCCTGACAGTTGGATAATCTGGAGTGATGGACACCTTCGGCTGTGATCTGTCAGTCTAGCACTGTGTGTCCCCCTATGAATCCAGCCACTTCCTACCTTCTGCAGACCACATCTAGGTTTCCTCTTGAACATCCTCCAGAGAAGCAGGAGTAATCTTAGTATATCTCAGAACTGGCCACTTTGGTAAGGGGAGGCAGCTGCGTGGATTCCGAAGGGCATTGGAAGGATGTTTGTCCTGAAGACAGTGTCATATGGCTCATGTCCCTGCTGCTCTCTAGACTGGAATATTGCACAACAGTTTTGAAAATGTTGCTTTTGTGAGAAACTGAGCAAAAAGTCCATAGGGGTCACTTCTTGGAGTTACACCTGAGACTGATATACTGTACTGTATCCACAGGGGAGGTGGAGAATACTGTCCTCTTTATACTGTCATTTGGTGTGCTGTTATAGCTGTTTATTCGGTCTGTGTTTGAAGTACACTGACATTCTTTGCTGTTGTTCTCCTGTTAGCTGAATAAACATCTATTCGGCCTATTTGTTTATCCTGATCCTTATTTACCTCGATAGCACCCATACATTCACAATTAAAGAAAAAATTTAAAGAGAGAACTCTTTCCTGATTTTTCAGATTATTTCAGGTTTCTTGTCTTAAGAGGTAATAAAACATCAGTTCCATGTGTAATAGTCATAATTTGACACTTAGACTTTTTATGTGATTCTTTAATGGAGGCATGTTTCTTCTCTAAACTCTGGGAATTGTTTTTTTGTCTTTATCCACTGCACACGGTATTAGTCAATAATGAGTCCATGTCAGACATAAAGGTACTGCCTTCCTCCCTCAGCTGATGATTGTCTTTGTATACAGCATATACACGATTGTTGAAGGACTTGGGTGTGTAAGACAGGAGGCTAAAGTCCCAGCACAGATATGTAACTTATGTCTTCTTCCCAAACTGTGAGTGATAATTTTTCTCTGAGTGCCTTAAAATAAACTTTTTTTCTGGCCACAGGAGCATTTATTTTATTGGAGGATGTGATAGGACATGATTAAGCTGGGTGGCTGTGCATTTCAATGGCTAAATTGACCAACGAGCCACTTGAGGCTCTGGCTTCTTCTCAGGCAGGTGGCCAGTCTTTAATTGCAGCTAAAAATTCTTTGACTTACTAGAATTGTGTTTTATTTTCCATGATTGGCAGACTTCTCTGTTGTCAGGCTTTCCAAAAGTAAGGTCCTGTCTGTGTGAGAGGCGGTGACCTGGTGATTAGAATGACCAGTAAGTAGCCTTAAGTTACCGAATCCACCGCAGCTGGTATCAGTAGGGTACTCGTTAGCATCAGGAAATAAGTATTTTTACAAAGCCGAGCACCTACTCATGGCTCTGGCACGGGTGGAAGTAATGCAGTTGGGAGGTGCTCAACAACTACAGGGGTATTGGGACAGAAGGCCATGGCTGTTGCTGTTTGCCATTAACTTACAAATCAGGCTTGAGAAACTCTGGAACTTTCACTAAGTTGCTGCAGAAAAACCACAGACCTGCAAAGTGTTTGTTCTGGGAGCTGTGTGGCTTCCAAATTACAGTGTATCATTCTCTTACCCAAATTGTGCATAGGTGTACTTGCTTTATGGAAACTGCCTTGCATATGAAACTCCTGAGGGAGTCTTAAGAAATAGCTTTTAGTGTGTAAGAAAGTATACTAGATCCCAGTTTACCTTGTCTGAGTAGCCTGTCAAGAGACTGACCATCAAAGGCATGCCTCATTTGCCAGTAGATCCTTGATTTGAATCCAGCACAAATGATACACATTGTTATCATCGAGCAGGAGTTTTACAGGGCACCAAAGATGTTCTTTTAGATTTCCCAATGGTGGATTTTGCCTTTGTTGAACTTTGTACCCTTTAGAGCTGTGTTTTTACACACTATCCATCCATGTATTTACATACTCATTTATGTATGCCATTACTGTGAACAATAGTGATACAAATTAGTGTAAGACAGTTTAACCAGGTGTGCAATGTTTTCCAGCAGAAGTGTGCATTAAAATTATCTGGTAAAGTTAAAAAAAAAAAAAGTGAAAGCCCAGCATTTTGAATTTATTTGTTTAGGCCAAGTATCAGGCATACCTACCATCATTGGGTTTTCAAATGAAGAAGACACAATATTCAGGGACTTGCAGCTGACAATTTTGATGTATTCTTTCTTAGAAATCATGATTTTGGTTTGTTGCTACTGAAAATAGTTTTGTCTTAAATTGGCTTTTGTTTTTTATTTTCATAAATAATTTTTAAAAATATGTGTTTCTTCTTCCAAACTATCCACCCCTTACAGGGGCAGAATTACCAGGACAAGTGATCTCCATGGCAGCTTCTACACTTGCAAACTTGGCCATCTCCATCACAGGGTATGAATCAAGCAGTGAGGACCAGCCCTCCACTCAGCCTGCAGGTGACTGACGTCATGAAAGTGCTCAGAATCTGCTCTAGAAAGTGAGATAGAAGTAGGAATAGTGCAGGAGGAGGCTGGTCTGCCGGTCCTCTACTATTTTTATACCATAATCTTCATGTGGGTTCTCCCCGCCCCCATGCTTCTGATTACTTACCTTTTTGGATTTCCTACTTGGTTCTTTCCCTTGCCTCTTTAAAACACTTTTCTTATGTTTTGTACTTATACTGTTATGTCTCACACCTATACTGTTTTTCTCCCCTTAGTGTCCCATTTACCATCTAGTTCTACCCTAACTCTGTGCTCCTTATCATTTATTTATTTATTTATTTATTTTTTTATTTAGTGTTCCTTTTCCAGCCAGTTCTACGTCGTTTTATTTTGTACTTTTTTTTATGTGTTTTCTTCCTTTCCCAACTCCCTGTCTACAGTGGGTGTTGTTCTTTTGCTGCGCAGCTAATGCCTAAGAAACACAAACACGATACTCAGCGCCCACATGGAGTTTATTGAGAGAAGGGAGAGAAAGAGGGGGTAGCTGGTGGCCAACCGAAAGCAGGAGAGAGAGCGGAGGTGGGCAGAGAGAGAGCAAGAGGGGACAAGAGAGAAACCAGAGAGAGAGCAGAGAGAGAGATGCGCTTGGCGCGCTTGCTTTAAAAGGGGGTCTTGCGCATGCGTAATTGAGTCCTCTGGCAGCCAGGTAAGGTTGAAGTAGCAATGACATGGCCATGAACGTCCCGCCTATCGTTGGGGGCGGGGGTCAGCTGGCTGCTAGTTCCTAACAGTGGGGTGTTCTTCTTTTCTACATTTTATGCATTCTTTTTTTTTTTTTAAACCCCTTCTGGCATTCTTTCTGTTGCCTCCGAGTAAAAGTACAATTTCAAAGGCTTATGCTGTATATATTTACTGGCTTCCCAAAACAGGCCCTCTGGTTACTCTGTAGGGCCTGGCTCTGTGAGATCCATTTGGTAGATTCATACCAGGTTGGAGCCATACCATACCATACTTTCACAGAGTTCAGAAGTTATGTAAGTCTGTCTCAGTTTGTGCTAAGATGCCTATTAGTGCCAGAGATAATTAGAGGTGGAGAATATTACAACAGCCCCCCCCCTTTAAATAGTGTGTATGGTCAATAAATGTGTGTGTTGTGTGTATATCTTCACAGTGTATGCACATGTGTGTAGAGGCCAGAGTTCCATGTTGGTATTTTCCTTAGTCACTGTTTAAGTTTTGAAGTAAAGTCTTTCATGGCACCTGGAGCTTACCATTGGACTTGGTTTGTTTGTCGGCAAGCTCCAGAGATTTTCCCCATCCTTACTTTCCTTGCACTGAGATTGCAGACACATACTATAGCCCTTTTTTGTGGGTGTTGGCGATCTGGACCCAGGTACTTGTGCTTATTTGCTGAGCCCTTTACCAATTGAACCATACCAGTTGAACCATCCTTCTGTCCCCCTATATATCAAGCTCTTCTTGAAGAACTAACTTAGTACATGTGTTAGAGAAGGCATAATTTAGGAGAAAGCCATTCAGTAGTAGAATCACATACTATTCTTGTACATGAAACCATGTTTCCAAAGCAGAGATAGTTGATACTTAGGTTATAGAGTTACTGTTCTGCTGGCATTTATCATTACCACTGACCTGGAGTTTCCAGATCAAGCAGGCAGAGCAAAGACAAATGAAAGCATGTTATCATCATTCACTGTTAGCCTTGCCCATGAGCACAGACAAACACACACACAGGCAAAACATCCACACAAATACAATAAAAATGAATCTCAAGAAATACTTAACTTAAAAGGAGAAAATTTGCTATCTCCCAGAAAATCTGATTTGTCTAGATCAAAAAACCCTGGTAGCAGGCGGTAGTTTCCACAAGTTTGTTTCAGTGCAGATCTTCTGCGATCCTGCTACACATAGCAGTGAAGTATATTTTATATTGTTCTTATGTGGACTAAGACAGTGTGTGACTTTATGTCTTTGCATTTTTTAGAGCCCATGGACAGGGTCGAGCCACCCCCAGCATTGTCTGCTTCTTCATCCTCTTCCCGTTCCTCACCTTCTTCCCCTTCACCGACTTTGGGCAGACAGAGGCCTGAGATGGGGACATTTCTCAGAAAGAAGAAAACGAGTGACATTTACTTTGTGTCTCTCGTATGGGCCATCATTGCTGTCCAGCTCTGGCTGAATCTGTGGATTGTGCAGCTACTGCCAGTGCCTGTTGCAGGTTGTTATTTGGTTAAGTATGGTTTTATCTCCTTGCCACAGACTTTTTTCTTCTTTTCTTGCAGTGGGGTTTGAATATCTCATAGAGTTTTATTTCCATCTTACTTAAAATAGTTGTATGTTTGCCTTTAGATCATGAGACACATATTTATTTATTTTTATTTTATGTGTATGAGTGTTTGTCTGAATATGTGTGCCTGTAGAGGTCAAAAAAGGTATTGGATCCTCTGGAACTTGAGTTTCAGTTGTGAGCCACATGTACCCATGTCCTCTGCAAGAGCTATAGAGAATTACAGAACAGCCAGGAATACATAGAGAGACCCTGTTTTAAAACCAATTAAAAAAAGGAAAAAAACCTAATGAAGGAAATTTTGAACTGTTAGGTCATACTGACTGTTTTACTTTCTTACTGTTGTGACAAAACACCATGACTAAGGCAACATATAAAAGAGAACATTAATTAGAGGCTCATCATCATTTTAGAGGACTGGAGTCCATGACCTTCACTGTGGGAAGCATGGCAGCAGGCAGGCAGACGTGGAACTGGAGTAGTAGATGAGAGCTTTCAGATTGAGAGAATAGACATGAGGCAGAGAGAGAGAGAGAGAGAGAGAGAGAGAGAGAGAGAGAGAGAGAGAGAAGGCAGGCAGGCAGGCATGCAGGTGTGCATGCACACACACACACACAGTATGAACTCTGGGACTGGCATGGGCTTTTGAAATCTTAAAGCCTACCTCTAGTGCCTATTTCCTCTAACAAGGCCACACCTCTTAATCCTTCCCAAAAAGTTCCACTAACTTGGGGCCAAGCATTCAAATCTGTGAGCCAATGGGATTCATTCTCATTGAAACCACCACATTGATCCTGCAAATTACAAGATTGGGGTTAAGGATATTGGTCCCAGGAGGTAAAGACATTATAGTGGAAAGAAACAGTTACGTAGGTCCTCCCTCACTAATGAGTAACCCTTCTTCTGGCCTCTGTTCAGATGCACAGAGCAGCATCTCATGAAGAGACAGGAACACAGTTGAAAGATACCCTGGGGAAGAGCAGCTGTAATAGACAGGAAATCAGTAAATGTCAAGGCTCAGTTTTCCTTAGTCAGGCAGGGCTGTGAAGATCTTTGCAGTTGATGATGTTTGTAGCCTGGACTGACTGACTTTGTGATGCAGCTCCAAAACCAGGATGATGTTTAGCTAGTGGGGCTTCCTTGAAAGTATGCCTGGTGTGGTGGTTTGAATAGGAATGGCATCCTTAGATTCATGTGTTTAAATGCTTGGCCCTTAGGGAGTGACACTATTAGGGTGTGGCATTATTGGAGAAAGTGTGTCACTGGGGCAGACTTTGAGGTCTCAGAAGCTCATGACAGTGAGACTAGTGAGTCTCTGCCTCTTCCTGTCGCCTGTGGTTTCAGATGTGGAACTCTCAGCTCCTTCTCTAGCACCATGCATGCCATCATGCTTCCCACCATGACAGTAATGCAGTAAACCTCTGAACCTGTAAGACAGCCCCAAATACATGTTTTCCTTTGTAAGAGTTGCTGTGGCCATGACATCTCTTCACATAAGAGAAACCCTAATAGGGACACCTGGCCACCAGTTCCTTCTGTGATTTCCTCCCCTCACTCCACTACCCTCCCCCCCCCCCCCCCCCCCGTTCCTTTCTTGAATGTTCTTGTTTTAGTATGGCTTTACTCTTCAGAGTGGAAACTAAGAACATTTTCATGTTCTCCCTTGACATGTGATCATCTCTTCCCTATAGTCTGGATAATCAAGAAGCTCGTGATTCACTTTGGAGTGGTGGGCTTCCTGGAGAAGCGCTGCCACGTGTGGTGGCAGGTTATCGAGTGCTTCCTGAAGGAGCGGCAGGAGGCTTTAGCACCGTGGCCAATTATCGGGCTTGGGAAGTTCTTACTAAAAGTCGATAGCAAGGTATTGTATGATTGGCTATTTCCGTGGATTTTATGTGTTCCATGCCTGAAATGATCCATTTCATAACATGTTGATGATGCACTTCATATCTAGTTCTCCATGAAAATTTAAGGTTTAGAATTCTGTTTCACATGAGGATAGGGTGGACTTAAATGAAATACAATTGTGGTTATTTTTCTTATGAAGGAAAAAAATCACCCCTTGATAAGGACCAGAATGAAATCCAGAGAGCTAAAGGGACTTGGTTAAGATTAGGTAATGAGATGGTGGCTCAGAGTGGGATGTTTTTGGGGTGATTCTTGTTTGTCAGATACTGTGCTGAGTTACAGGAAAACTTAACCAGTCCTGGACCGCCAGAGACAGCTGGACTTACTGCCAAGAGGTGGTAATTTCTGAGAACTTAGTGGTTAAATTGGCCAAAGGACATGGAATCTAAATCCACACACCACCTTTGGCTCCCACTTTGGTTATTTAGTAGCCCTTTGACCTTGGACAGATGGCTTGCTTAATTTCTCTGTGCCTTGGTTTCATTATCAGTGAAGTGGGTGTAATAGCTGAGTTCATATAGGCAAGATCTTAATGTGTCTGGTGTATTCAGTGCTCTCTGTGACTACAGTTTGTATAGAGAAGTATCTGTGACACAGTGATAACAAAGGGAAACCTTGAGGAAGCCAGCAGAGCAAGCTGAGCACATGCAGGCATTTATTAGGTAGAGTGCCTGGCTGTGCAGAGGCTCTGCAGGGGAGAGGATGAGGCTGCTTAGGTGATTAGGTGTTACAGCAATGCCTGTAGTTGTCATTTCAGCCATCCCATTGTAAAGTAGCATTGTGTTAAGCTCTGTAATGCACTTTCTTTTTCTCCTTTCCAGTCAGCTTCCTCCCTGCTCTTAGAGACTTTCTCTCCATACTGTTGTTGCATTCTCTAATGATATCCCACTGTTCTTATCTTCTCTCTCACCTTCCCCTGTCCTCCAGCTCTGGCACTGGCTAAATAAGAAGGTAATAAACATGTGGGTGTGATTTTCACTACTGAATTTTATACCCCTCAGCATCTCCTTTCTCATCCTGTGTTTCTGACCATATGTCAAACTAAGATTTGTTTTAAAATTCTAACTATAAGTTATGGAAGGTCATGAAGTATGAATTCTGCCATAGTCATTTGCTAAAACCTCCACAAAGCTCTTAGGATGTAAATGGGCCCCTTTGTTCAAATATTTAAGAATTTATGTCTCATAGCCCTTCTGTCCATAGAATTGATCTCCTTGCTTTTTTCTCTTTATGTGGAGACTTTGGTCTCTTTGGTTTTCTTTGAGTCAAGGTTTTGCTCTGTAGTCCAGATTGGCTTCTGTCCTCCTGCCTCAGTCTCCTAAGTGCTACTATTGTGGGTATCTACCACCAGGCCCACTGTGGGTTCCTTTGGTTTGTGAAACACATTAAGGTATAGTTACAGTAGAGCAAAGAAACTCTTTATTACTACTTTTTCTATAAATGACACAGAACTTTATTTAAAACTGACAGATCTGTAAAATACTTGTGGAATTTGTCTTTTTTTTTTTTTTTTTTTTAAATATTTGTCTTAGCTTGGGCCTATATTGTTGTGATAAAACACAGCTTGGAGAAGAGTTTATTTAAGCTTACATGTCTCAGTAACAGTCCACCATGGAGGAATACTGCTTACAGGCTTGCTCCTCCTAGTTTGCTTAGCTTGCTTTTTTATGTAACCCAGGGCCACCTGCCCAGGGGTGGCACCACCCACAGTTGGCTGGGCCCTCCTACATCAATCATTAATCAAGAAAATACTGCATAGGCTTGCCCACAAGTCAGTCTGGTGGGGACATTTTCTCAATTGAGGTTCCCTTTTCTCAAATGACTCTAGCTTGTGTCAAGGTGACAAAAATTAACTAGAATTCCAATATCCCAGAGACAAATTATTTTTTTATTTTTTTATTTTTATTTAAGCATTTAAGCATTTAAGCCATGACCTATAACATCTAATTTTGTTTTATGAGTCATGAGGTTTACCTGTAGGAACTGCTTTCCATGATTGGTATAACATTGTGATAGGCACATTTCATATAAATTTCTAAGGTCGAGCTACATATATGAGGAATACTGTGCCTCAGACATTTAGTCAAGATAGAGCAGTGTTTGATTGGCTTTTGAATCCTTAGGACAGGTTTGCAAGAGGTGGCATCATGTCTGTGTGTTCTTCTGTTTAAACACAAGCAAGACTTAGGTTCAGTCAAAATAATGTAACAAACTTTAAAGACGTGGAAGTAGATCAGAGTCACATTTTGATTTTTAGTTTTTATTCACTCATATTTATTAATTTATCCAGTATTTGTTTTTGTGGTGCCGAGGGTCAAATTCAGGCCTTGAGCATGGCAAGCTGTCATACACTCTTAGGCCCAGATTTCTGTACTTTTAAATGTGGGAATTAAAATTTGCTCCCCCATCCTATTGAAGTGAAGAAATGGGAGACTTGACAATACCTAAGGTTTTAAAACTGGATTGCAAATAAACAGTGTGTAAAATTTTTTGTCTACTTCATCCTATGTGTCAGGAGATAAATATAATATTTATCATCTATCTATATTTATGTAAGATATCTAGATAAAGAGTATGACACACATTGTGTTAACTTTAATCAAAGTAAAGTGATTATTTATGTCTCCCCAGTTGATATGTATTGAAATGATTTGGCCTCAAGATAAGGTTAAAAAAAAAAAGAATTGAATTCGTTAAGTTTAATTTGTTCTGCCCTCAGTGGACTAAATGAGTTGGGAAACCCAATTTGTGAGCCTAATGTATAGCTGAAAAGCAGACTTAGTTTTAAAAGATTCCTAAGGGAGCAAGTAACTGTTGTCACTAATTTTGTGTTGCGTGTTCAAAACATTGGGGGTTGCCTGCATTTCTGTGTGTGCTCTAGAGAAATGCATAAGGATATATGATACTTTTTTGTTGTTGGTTTTTCGAGACAGGGTTTCCCTGTGTAGCAGCCCTGGCTGTCCTGGAACTGGACAACTGTAGACCAAGCTGACCTCTAACTCACAGAGATCTGCCTGCCTCTGCCTCCCGAGTGCTGGGATTAAAAGTGTGAGCCACTAACACCTGGCTGTGATACTTTTTTTTAATAGTTTGGTAAACAAAGCCAGTTGTCTTAGAAGTTGTAGAGTAGGGCTTAGTGTAATTAATTTTTAGAAATGCATTCCCTGGGGCTGGAGAGATGGTTCAGAGGTTAAGAGCACTGGCTGCTCTTTCAGAAGTCCTGAGTTAAATTCCCAGCAACCACATGGTGGCTCAGAGCCATCTGTAATGAGATCTACTGCCCTCTTCTGGTATTTGTGCAAGCATATATGCAGGCAGAACATTGTGTACATAATAAATAAATAAATCTTTTAAAAAATGCATTCTCTGTTCATATTTGAAATATTTAGCATGCCATTTTAAAACGTCCCTCTTTTAAAAACAAAACCTTAAATATTATTATTGGCCATCACCTAGAGATTGGAGCAATTCATACAGACAATTCATAGAGCAATTCCACAGCCCAACAGTGACCGTGACAGTTTGGTTGACTTTGCTTATTGTGAGCAAGGGGAAGAACAGTCTCTTTGGAAAGAAAGTGCCTGGTATTCCTATAGAGACTCCCAGCTTCCTCTGTCCATATTTCTCCCTGTTCTTGTTCACTTGGGCACGCAGCAGTTGCTTCTTTTCCTTTGTTTACTGTCTTGATTGTTTGAAATGTGTATGTGTGTTTTGGCTGTATTACATTTGTCTGTCCGTCCGACCGACCGTCCGTCCGTCCATCCATCTATCCATCCATCCATCCATGCACTGTGTACATGTCTGGTGTCCCCAGAAGGCAGAAGAGAGCATCAGATCCACCGGAACTAGAATTATAGACAGTCGAGCTGCCTTGTGGGTGTTGGGAACTGAACAGGCTCTTCTTCAGAGCACCCTTTAATATGTGGTGGGCTGGAAAGAACAAGAGTCTCCGAAGTCTTAAGCAAGTACTTTGTACTTAATCTGACAGAATTGGAGTTGGGAAGATTCTATTCTAGCTTAAAACTATGAAGCCTGGTTTTATAATTCTGGTGGGCATATTTTTGGAATCCCATGGTTTGTATGTTAATGATACCTGATAGGAGGTTAGGGCTCCATGCTTTCCCAGTAGATCATTTTCATTTAAAAATAGGCTTTTAAGGATACTTCCTATGTTACCTTCAGAAACTGTTATTCCTGGAAACAAATCTGGCTGTAACTCTGAATTACTTTATGTTTGTTATACAAGCTGTACTCCTGGTTTCCTGGGTTATGGAGTTGTAGAAAGAGGAACGAGGCAGCCCTTTCCTTGGGGGGGCCACCTTAGGAGGTCTAGAGTCCAGCTGCTGCTTGATGGCAAAACTTCTCAGTTCACTGATTTAGAACTTAACTTCAGAGTAAGACACCTGACCTTCCATACCTTAGAAACCTGTCCTTCCTTTTCCTTTTTATTTATTTATTTACTTATTTACATTTTTATTTCTGAGCTGTCTCTGATGCTTTGGTAGCATGCATTGAAGCTTAACCCCTCTGTTTGAAGCTCTGAGTGTCAACATTGTAGTTAATGTTTTGTGTCTGAGTTCACTATGGCACTAAATGAAGGGCAGTGTCCTTCATGGAAGACATGAAGAAATAAACTTGTAAAATTTGAGGTGTTTTATAAAAAGAAAATGTTTTTTAGGTATTTAACTCACTGTGTAGAGAGCATAATTTCAATTTAAATTAGGAAAACTTAGCAGTATTACAGCTCACTCTTGGGTTGAAAGGTACAGTATGGCATATTAGCAATATTGATCTAATTAAATCTAATTTTGAATTTTAATTGGTGGCTTTGTATCACAGGAAGTGTAGAAGTCTATCATTGTTGCATATCTCGAAAACAAAAGTGTTTAAGATGTAGGATTATTGAGGTTGTAAAAGGTGAGAGAGGTTCTAGCAAAGATAGAATATCAAATACCATTTTACGGAGAGCATAATTTTAATTATTGGTTAAAGAACAGCTACTGTATTGAGGAGTAATATATGTCACTGAGTTAATATGTCATAAAGCTTATGTTTTCAACAGAATAGAAACTTCTGGTGGATAGCAGGACTTTAAAAAGCATTTTATTGTGAATCTTTAAGATCTAAAAGTCCTGGGGCTGGCAATATGGCCCATTTGGGTAAAGGCATCTTTCACCAAGGGTAGTGACCTGCATTCAGTCTGTGAAAGCCACATGATGGAAGGAGAAAGCCTACTCATGCTGATTGTCCTCTGACCTCCATACTCACGCCCTGACATCTGTGTATACCCCCAACTAAATAAATATGTATACTTAACTTTTTTAAAATTTAAAAGCCTTCACAACACATTCAGTTAAAAAACAAAGCAAAAAAGCTGTTCACCTACTGTCTACATCATCAGAACTGCATCCACTTCCCAAAACCTAACCTGGGAGCTGTTACTCTGAATTGGCTATTGCTTTAACATTACATGCATCAGCAATTACTGTCTTTATCACCCTAATGTGATGAAAGTAAAATGCATTTGGAATTTATTGTTGTCTGTCTTTGCTCCTAGTTTTTGTATAATGTAGGAGATGACCATTGCAAGGAACATACACATTCTCTAAAGTCATCTGTGTTGGCTAATAATAATAGAGCTTCATGAGACTTAAGTTCAACTGGTGGATTTTCATTATTCAGTTTGGATTGTGTTTACGAGGTCTCAGAATTAGAGACGTAGCATAGTAAGAATTCAGGGGTACATGTGGATATTATTCAGGTTGACTGCCTTTTCATAGCTATGACAATAATGAACTCTCCACATCACAGCAGCAATTAATACTGTTAGTTAATTTTCTCCAGTTAATTTGCTTATAGCTTTTACTGCTTTAATCAGTATGCTATAGTTTGCTTTGCAATGCTGAATATCCTGTATTTGTGATATTTGAATACATACAAATGTTTATTAAGTAATATTTTGAAGATAAGTAACTCTATTTTTTTCATTTCCATGCAGATGATCATCTGGCTGGAGAAGATGTTAGATAAAATTATTAGCATTTTCATCATATTCTTGCTAGTAATAGGAACCCTTCTTTTAGCCCTTCTCCTGACTGCAAAGGTAAATGAAGTACAGCAACTGATTATCTTGTTATAACACGGGCCTTATTGTTAGAATTGCATATGCAGAAGAAGCTAGCAGAAGCAACTGGAAAATGTTATTTGTCTTATCAGAAGTACCTCTATCCACTAAAGTATTCCCATTTTGTACATTAATAATTTTGCTATGAGTCTGCCTAGTATGTTTTCTTTTTAAATCTCTTTTGCACATATTTATTTTTGTCATCAAGCCTTCAGTAAAAATTGTAGTTTAGAAAAAAAGGAATCCTGAAAATAATCCTCCCACACCCCAAGCTGGCTGCCTTAAACGGAAGAGGTTTCTGAACTAGTCTCATGACTCCTAAGCTAATTAGTACAGTGTCCCCTCCTCCCTTATCTCCCTGGGTTCTGGTGTTGATGCCTTCTGCTGGCACTGCAGGCGCAGGCCCAACTCCCGCCTCGGTCTTTTGAGTCTCCACATACAGGCGTGCCAGGGGTGTGCCTGTACTGAATCCCTGCATTATCTCCTTCCCTCCTGTCCCTGCTCTTCCTTCCTGTGGGGTACTTATGTCTGGGACAGTTCCACGTGCCTGTTTTTGTACTTGTTGCCTGTTCTTTTGTCTAATTTGAAATGCTGTCCTCTGGTCATGGGCATGGCCATGTCCTTAAGTCAGACCCATAGGAGACCCTCAGAAGTCTGTGAAACTAAACTTCCTTCATGAAGGGGAGAGAGGTCTTACTAGCCACATGGCAGCTTTTCAGATTCCTCCAGCATAAGTTTTGTTTCCTATTTCCATCTCATAGAGAAAGGCACTCCCCAAAGCACAGCAGCATTTTATCTTCACAGTGGTGTGCTTTCCTGAGGGTAGTTTCTTACACTCCTTCAGTGCATTTTATCTTTATTTATCTGAACTCTGTTTGACTCCACTTCCAGATTTTGGTGTTCCGTTTTCACAAGATTGTGCAGCATACCTGAAGTCATGGGTATCTAACAGTCCTGCAGAGACCCGTTTAGTAACTGTCGACCAGTAGATGATCCAGTGGCAGCAGGTTGCTGAAGTATTGTACTTAGCATGGGCTTCTCTATTTGGAAGTTCTAGTCTTCAGTCAGGTTCATTATGGTTTATTTACTTTTAACCCACTCTATTAGCATTTGTATCTCTTTCATTACCAGTGCTGTTCCTTTCTGTTCTTTAGGTAGCAGTCACATATTGTCACTTCATGTACACTGTGTAGACATGAGCCCTTCCTGTGATTTTGTCATGTTTTACCCCAGATTACCGTACTTTTCAGAGAGATCTTTATCTGCTGGCTGTTTGACTTTTCTGTCCTTTTGTTCTTCTCTGTTTCTCTGCATGGGGTCTTTCAATCTGTGCCCATCTGTCAAGTTCTGTATTTATTCTGTGCTGCAGTGAGATTTTGCTTCCCTCAGCTTCATTGAAGGGTACTGAACCATTTCTTTCTTGTCTACTGTTTAAGTGGACTGAACCTTTGAGGTATCTGGCTTATTTTCCTTTAATAAAGGAATCATTTTCTGGATTACCAAGACACTGTCCACTTGAGTGTCTAATGGGTACCTCAAATGCCACACCAGAAACTGTTCTCACAACCTTTCTATTCTAGTGACAGTTACATTCTTCTAGCTCAGTGAAGGGCTTCAGGATCAGTCTTGAGTATAACTTATGTTTTGAGTACACATCTACTTTGTCAGAAAATCCTTTTGATTTTGACCTTGCCAGTATATCCTAGGGACAAGGATAGACTGAGGCTATCTTATAATTTCCTGCCCATAGAAAACAATATCAAGTCCTTATCAATGCCACTTATAACCTTTGGAAAATGAATAGGTAATTCTTAGAGTCATGTTGACTTTGAATTATTTTGCAGCAGAACTGCAGCTTTTTCTGAAGGAGTTGTTCAATTGTTGTGAAGATACAGCATGACCAAGGCAACTGTTACAAGGGAAAGCATTTAATTGGGGACTTGATTACAGCTTCAGAGGTTCAGTCCATTATCATTATGGATGTAGAACTACATAGAACCATATCAGTGGTTGATTTGTCTGAGTATCTCACTCTGCACAGTTACTATGTTAGCTCACAGTTTTGGTATTGCATATGAAGATGCATAAACATGCACATAATCTGCCCGTGTGTATATATTTGTGAACTAGATATTTATGTTTATGAGTTAAGTATTTGGATTTTTTTTAAGGCAATTGAGCTTCTTGAAGGCACAGAAGGCATACATGTATTTCTTTCAGTATCTATCATAGAACATTATGTATAACAACTTGTAAGTGTCCACTTCTAAGTTAATACAAACTATGACATATAATTAATAAAAACCACAACATATAATTATTTGATTTTATAAAAGTAAAAAAGACATTTTTAATTAGGTTTATTGCTTACTGATTTTTTTTTCTCTTATTACCTATATTACAGGTACATCAAGAAAGTGTACACATGATTGAAGTCACAAGTAGTCTGATTAATGAGACCCTAGCAAATCACCCAGAGTGGGCAAAGTAAGAATACTGTTTTGAAGAAAGATATACTTGGGTGACCAAGTTTCAGCTTCTGTGTGCATGGAACACTGTTCATTGATGTAGCTACATGGGAAGAGAAGAGATGCGGTTTGCCAAAGCTTTGATAAAGTAGAATAATGTAGGGACTAGGAGCTAAAGATTAGGGACAGCTGATACTACTCTGAGGGTCAGACTGACCTAACCTAACACTCAAGACACTCTTGCCTCAGACTCCCAAATAATGAGATTGCAGGTATATATCCCCATGCATGGCTCTACCTTTTAATTTAGTGACATTTTCTGTTATTATTTATTTTTCTTTTCATGAAAGAACATTTTTCTAGACATCTTGACTTTTGTGGTTATTGACAGCAATCATCTTCTCGTTATGATTACCTTATACGTAGACTTCCATGAAACTGCTAAAAATTGAGGCCGTAGATTGTAATTGTGTGCTGACTCTTTTCCATGTGCCAGCTTGGTAGCACACTTCATATTTGAGCCTCAAGAAAATAAACTCATAGGTATTATTGCTTTGGCCTTTCAGTGTGAATTGTGGATAATTGAAGCCAGAACTATTAAATTTATGAATGTCAGTATCTGGCATATAACATGAATGAACAGTCTGGGGAATATTCAACGTACTTCTGGAAGTATTTTATATATTATATGGAAATACTTTTGGAAGGCATTGGGTGTATGAAAAGGCTTCTTGATTAAGGTATATTGTGCCGCCTATTTAGCTCTAAGGGTTTGCACAAGTGAAACTGAAGACTGCAGTTCTTAGCATGGCTGGAGCTTTGTGAAGAGGCTCTATATCAAAAGATTGCTGGATATAAGATAGAAAATAATTAGTCCACCCTCTTAATTTCTGGATTCTTCTCAGTTCTGCACTTCCTTAGACCTGTGGGTCTTAGATAGACACCTTCAAGACTTCTTAGGGTACACATTTCTCTTAAGATCTGGGATTGGATTCAAGCATTTCATCTCTAAGACGCTCCCAAGCAGGTTGGGTGCTGGTTGTCCATGACCCACACTTTCAGAATCTTGTCAGATATTGAATATCTCTCTGCTTTAGAACCAAGTCCTCTGTACTGACGAGGCAGGTGTCTTAGTTAGGGTTTCTATTGCTGTGAAGAGATACGTGACCATGGCAACTCTTATAAAGAAAACGTTTCATTGGGGAGCCTTCTCTCAGTTTCAGAGGTTCAGTCCATTATCATTATGATAGGGAACGTGGTGCATAGTGCTGGAGCTGCAAGTGCTACATCTTGCAGGCAGCAGGAAGTCAACTGACTGTCACACTAAGGATAGCTTGAGCAAGAGACCCCAAAGCCTGCCCCCATAATGATACACTTCCTCCAACAAGGTCACACCTCCTAATAGTGTCATTCCCTTTGGGGGGCATTTTCCCCCAAACAACCACATTCCATTCCCTGGCCCCCAAAGACTTATAGCCATATCATAATGCAAAAAATGCATTCAGTACAACTTCAAAAGTCCCCATAGTTTGTAATAGTCTCAAACTTGTTTCAAAGTCCAAAATCTCTTCTGAGACACATGACAATCTCTCTCTCTCTCTCTCTCTCTCTTTTTTAAGGTTTATTTATTATGTATACAGTGTTCTGTCTGCTTGTGTCCCTGTAGGCCAGAAGAAGGCACCAGATCTCATTATAGATGGTTATGAGTCACCATGTGGTTGCTGGGAATTGAACTCAGGACCTCTGGAAGATCAGTCAGTGCTTTTAACCTCTGAGCCACTTCACCAGCCCACATGACAATCTCTTAACCCTTTCTAAAAATCAAAATCAAAAAGCAAATTACATATTTCCAACTTATAATGGTACAGGATATACATTTCAATTCCAGAACACAGGGAAGGGAGTACAGCAAGGAAAAATACTGGATGAAAGTAAGACCAAAAACCAACTGGGCAAACTCCAAACTGCAATTCCATATTTGATGGCAACATGCTCTTCAGATTTCTAACTGTTGAGCTCTGTTGACTGCAACACACTTCTTTATCTTGGGCTGGTTCCACCCCCTGTTAGCAGCTTTCCTTGGCATATATCCCAAGGTTCTTGCATCATCTTGGGTTCTCTAAGGCAGTCCAGACTTCAGCTTTACAAAATGGCTTCTCTACTAGGCTTCCATTCAGAGACACTCTTGACTCATGCTTGGCCTTATCGGCTTTATTCCATAACTGCTTTCTTTATCCTTAACTCTAAATCCAGAACCATGTTGCTGAAGCTGCCAAGTTCTGCCACTTACTGGGGCTGGAACATGGCTCCCTTGTTTAATTATATCTTTACCAGCTTTCTGTTTTCTTTTACTGCTTAAGCTTTGCTGTCCTTAAATTTTCTCTGTAGACCAGATTGGTCTAAACTCAGAGTCTCATGAGCCTCTGCCTTCCCAGTGCTGGGATTAAAGGCATGCAACACCACACTTGCCTCTAAACTTTCCTTTATTTCCTTTTTACATGTTGGAAATTTAGATAGGGTAGGATCTTGCCCTGAGGTCACCACTCCCTTTATTCCATTTTTTAATCCATTTATTTCTTTGGACATAGAATTTAGTTCTATTCCCTTCCCGGTACTCTTTTTTTTTTTTTTCCCCTTAAAACTTTCATTTTGTAATTTACTCTGCTTGACTAGCCCCTTTTCATTATAAATCTTCATTAGAGTTACCACTAATATCCACAGGACAGAATCTATACTAAGCTATTTAGAGATTTCTTCTGCCAAGGAAATTAATCCAAAATTCACTTTAGCCTCAGGCAGATTCTTTTGACAAGGGCAAAAGGCAGCCATTTTCTTCACCAAAGTATCACAAGAATGATCTCTAGGCAACATACTTAAAATTCTTTTCCTGTGAAACCTCTTGAGTGAGCCTCTGACAGTTCAAATAACTATCAGCACCGCTGTCATCCATGCTCCTACTAGTATGCCCATTAAGTAGTGCTTAAAACATTCTACTGCTTTCATAACCCAATGTACCAAAGTCCAAATTCCTCCAAACAAACACATGGTCAGGCATATCACAGCAATACCCCAGTCTCTAGTACCAACTTCTGTCTTAGTTAGGGTATTTTATTACTATGAAGAGATGCTATGACCACAGCAACTCTTATAAAGAAAACATTTAATTGGGATGCCTTGTTTACAAGTTTCAGAGATTTAGTACATTATAATCATGACAGGGAGCATGGCGCCATGTTGTTAGACATGGTCTTGGAGCTGAGAGTCCTATATCTTTTTTTTTTTTTTTTTTTTTTTTTTTAAGGCTAGAAGAAGTCAACTGACTGTCACAATGAGGAAAGCTTGAGTAAAAGAGACCTCAAAGCCTGCCCTTACAGTGACAACTTCTTCCAACAAAGCCATACCTTTTAATAGTGCCATTCCCTTGGTTGGCATTTTCTTTCAGACCACCACAGCAGGTGCAGAACAGAATGAAAAGGAGGTTGGGGGCGGGGCGAGGAGGTTGGGAAGATAGGTTTGAATCCTGTGGAGAGATGGAAGGGAAATCCTTAGAGTTAGGATTAGGGTCAACAGGCCTGGGCATTAGATGTTCTCTGTTAATGATTGATCAATAATTTGTTATTGGTTGCTTTAGTTCAGAATATTGTTAGGAGAATATACTAAAAATGGACTTTTTCTATTTTCTCTATCTTTTCTATCAGTTGGCTTCCTGAGGCTCAGGTGGTTCAAAGAGCTCTTAATTCTGCAGCTAACAATGTCTATCAGTATGGACGGGAATGGATAACCCACAAGGTAAGGAGTGGATCTTTCTCATGCCTTTCTCTGTGCAGGATTTTTACAGGAGTAACTTCTTCCTGTGATAGAAGATGTGTAAAGATTCTGTTTGGAGCAGTTTCCAAATGTATTTTTGAAATATATTCACATCTACAGGTAGACAGGTACCTTAAAATGGAGTCAAACTCTCAGGATATCACACTGAGCAGTGCTTCTGGCCTGAGTAGTCTTGAGATAGATCTGATTTATTTGTGTTTTAGGGTAGAATGATCACAGACCTTGAGTGGTCAAATAAGACTTTGTGGAGGAAGAAGAATTCAAGAATTCATGCAAACATGTTGAATCCTGTATCTGTTGCTCACTGTGTTTGGCAGTTTCCAGTTTCATTTAACATTCTAAGTTTCCTGTAGTACTTTGAACTAGTTTACCTGCCTTCCAGATGAGAACACAGGCTGGGCAGGCTCAGCAGATCCCGATGGCTGTGTGCTGTGTTTGTTCCACACTGGTGACTGACTAAATCCCTGTTTCTGTCTGCTGTAGCTTTCTGTCAGTGTGTGTATGGTTGGAACTAGAGTAAGTGCTTTCAGGTGGTACTTGAGATAAACCCAGAGGGATGGCAGGTCAAAGAAGAGTGTATTTAAGAAAGTTATTTGTGGAGTGAAGATACAGAGGCATGAGTGTGCTTGTGCTTGAGATGAGCTTGACTAAAGGGAACAGTTTTTTGAAGGAGAAAGAGTGGTAGAGGAAAAGACACAGTTGGACTTAAGGAATAGGTTTTCCAGTATGGATTTGCAGTATACTCCTCTCCTCGTATTGCCCAGATAATAAAATTAATTTTCAGCCTTAATAAACCAACTTAGTTAGGAAATACTACTTTGACAAGATTGAGGGCTCTGAAATTTGTGCCTCCCAAATTGTATGAGCAATTCATTTATTGTTTAAAACCCAAAAACAGAGTATTGGAGAGATGGCTTCAGAATGGTTAGTAGTACTTGCTGCTCATACAGAGGACCTGAGTTGGGTTCTCAGGACCTGTTTGTTGTCTTACAATCTTCTGTAACTACAGTTCTGCAAGATTTGGCACCCTCTTCTGATCTGTGCAAGCACCAGGCATGTGCTCGGTGCACATACATACATGTAGGCAAACACTCATACTCATAAAATAAAATAAATCTTAAAAAATAATAAAATTCAAAACAGTACATCACAATTATGAGAAATGGGCTCTACATACATTCATTTCTATCTGCTAATCAAAGATGGGATCATTAAGAGTTGAGAGAAAGTTTGTCAGTTGTATTATGTCTGTCCAATACAGTATGATCAGTTGGCACATGATAATATTGGAAAAAAATTGATGGTGTAGCAAAAGATGAATATGTATATTTAGATCTCAGAACTGTTATAGGAGAAAGAGCCACTTGAAAGAGCTTGCAGCTTTCTATAAATGTGTTATTTTCCTAAAAATACAGCATTTTGTTTTGATTTATAGATACAGGAGTTTTCTGACAATCTTGCCTTTTAGGTGAGAAGATAAAGGGAATTTTGGATAAATAATACATCTTAGATTAAATAATTTTCAGACTACTTACAGAAAAAAATAGCTATTATAACCTCTTGTTCAAGAAGACTCTAAAAGTAAAGGTAGTTGAGGACATTGATATCAAAAGTTATAAAGTATTTGTGGTTCTGACTTAGACAGAGGGATAGTATATAATAGCCATCAAATGTCTAGCAAGTGGTAGATGGATCAACACGATAAATTTATTCTGTGTATGTGTGAGTGATATGTGAATGTATGACTATCTGTACATGCTTGTATAAGGGTGTGTGTGTGTGTGCGTGTGTATATGTGTGAGGGAGAGAGAGGGAGAAGAAGGAGAGAGGGAGAGAGTTAGGGCAGCTTTTGAGTTTTGGTCCTCGCCTTTAAGGTGGTAAATTAGATGAAGAAATGAAATACTGATAAATGTTACAGTATGCATGAACACTGAACATATAATGCTGGCTTAAAAAATACCAGTTATTGGCTGGTGAGGTAGCTCAGTGGGTAATGCATTTGCTGTGCAAACCTGATGATCAATCAGAGTTTGAGTCCCAGAACCATGGTGGGAGAAGAATACCAACTCCACAGAGTTGTTCTCTGACATCCACCTGTGTACATGGTACCCCTCTCAACATACACAATAGTAATAATAATAAATAAAGGATCAGCCATAACATGATTATAAAGGATCATTCCATTAACATGAAATACCTTAAGTGTCAAATCTGTAAACAGAAAATAGAGTAGTGGGTTCTAGAAACAGGTGAATCTGAGGGGAAATGGGAGTGATTGTTAATGGGTGATAAAAATTAATTGTAATGGCTAAGTAACTATAAATATATGTAAACCATTGACTTGTCTACTAAAATGGGTTATTATGCCTTATACAGTTGTTAAAATAACCATTGAAACCACGTGCCTTAAATCTTTTTTTGAGACAGGGTTTTTCTGTATTGTTTTCCAGCCTGTCCTGGCACTCACTCTGTAGACCAGGCTGACCTCGAACTCACAGAGATCCGCTTGCCTCTGCCTCCCGAGTGCTGAGATTAAAGGCATGCGCCACCAATGCCCGGCAATATACCTTAAATCTTAGGTAGCTCATAATCTAAGAAATGGATTGCAAGAGCCAAAATCTAGAAGGGGTTGAAGTTAGTAAAACTGCCATGCCCAGAAAGAAAGAAGGTTTAATTTTTCATTTAGGTAAAAGCACAGGCAACTCTGAAGGTTCCAGGTTCCCCTGCCTGTATTGTTAGGCGTGTCTCCTGTGTTCCTACATCTCATCTGTGTTCTATGCAGGCCTTCTATTGGCTGCCATCATCACCCTTGCTTGAGCTCTCCTTTCTGTTTGGTGTGTTCCTTTCAAAATTTCCAACTGGAGATGCTGTACCTGGACAGCAGAAGAGTCAGTACTGTTTCCTCTGTTTTTCTGCTCTGACCCCAAGTGAAAAAAGCACCTGTCTAGGCCAGTGGAGAGCAGAGAGCCAGAGTTAACAGCCTCCTAGAGTCTAACACTGGTGAGAGGAGATGGTATTAAGCATTTAAACAAATAAAAATTTTAGGTACTTAGCTGTACATTGTGCTGTACACATTTAATCCCAGCAGAGCAGACAGATCTCTGAGTTCGAGGCCAGCCTAGTCTACAGAGTGAGTTCCAGGACAGTCATGGCTACACAAAGAAAGCCTGTCTCAAAAAAACAAAACAACAACAACAAATTTTTTTTTTAAGTACTCATAAAAATGGGTGGTAAAGAGTGATTTAGGGTGATGCTTTAGTTAAATGTCCAGAGAGTTCTCTGAGGCAGCAGCCTTTCTACTAAGACACTAATGAGAAAGCAGATGGTGAAGGTCTGGGGAAATCAGCATCCGCTGGGCAGAATCCATTCACAGGCTGTTGAGTGGTAGCAAGTACATGTGGTTGAAGGGTGAGGAGGGCCTGTGGGAAGACAGGGTGCTTGCAACAGAGACTGACACAGTGAGCCAAAGAGGGCTCTAAATGATACTCTGGCTTTAGTGAGTTTTCTGATAGTAGTGCTAAGGGCATTAGATTCCAGCCTTCTTGTGTCTTGCAGGGTATATTATAGCATAGCAGGACAGTGTTCTGGGTCTTAGGTTGATGTTCTGCTGGGTTGACAGCACTATGGGTTTGTAGAGGGTTTTACATGTTATTATACAATATTTTTTTTTTTTTTTTTTTTAGCCATGGTGTTTTAGAGTCTGTCATTGTTTACTGGGTGTCAGAGTTCCAAGCAAGATGGCAGCGTAAGGTAGTGCTTCATTGCACTGATGACCATGCTGTGGACAGTCTCCCAGAGGCTGACTAAGCACTTTAGGCCTTTTCTGGTTAGGGGTGTGTCAGAAGTTGATGGGGTAGGGTAGGAGAAGGCCTGTGAGTGTCTGACAGTCATGTACTCAGAGACAAGTAACTAAAGGGAGTGTGTGTGTTTCTGATTAGTATCTGCTGTGAGGTGTTCTCTGTGTATTGGTCACAGAGCCTACACTTAAAGGAACATTAGAGAACTTCCTTTTGTGAGACAGTCTCATTGTATAGAACAGTGTGGCCTGGAACTTACAGTCCTCCTGCCTCAGCCTCCCTAAGGCTGGGCTTGCTGGGATACATCTCCATGCCCTGAATTAGGCAATTTTAGCAGTGGCTCTGCACACCTAGCTGTGGCCTTGAACTTCCATAGACACTTTCTAAAACTTCCTACACTGACTAGAAAAACCAACTGTTGAGTTGCTGATCTGTACCTGGGTATCATAATGTACTCTGTCATTGAGCTATGTCCCCAGACCTACAAAGCCATTTTCTTTCTACTCTTGGGTGGTTGCAAAGATCACATAAGGTAAAAGCATTGTAAAATGCCTTTCAGAGATAAGTGGCTTTTATGTTTAATATGAATAATTTGTGTCTGGTTTATGAGTAAATCATTTTAATAAAAGGTTAGGTATTTGTACTAGATTTGAGTGATAACTGGATCAAGTATTTATAAGGCTAACATTGAGTGGACAAAGAGGTGCGTGTGTATTATAAACCAATTTGAAGAATTTGATTAAAGGAAAGAAGAACAAATTATTGGTTCTCATTTAATGATTGCTAAATTATCTTTAAGGTTTTCAGTTAATTCATAATATCTTGGGAAAACTGGTTTACAAAAAGTACTCAAAAGTATTATTTATACAACTCCTTTGAAAGTTGTTGGACAGTTGATAGTCAGTACCATTATTATCCTTGGCTCCTGTTCATTTCTTTTGCAATTGGTGATGTGAAGAACGAACTATATGTAAAGATGTCGACTACCTTAAAAATTGGGACTGTTTGGATATCCACCTCAGAGTAGTGATTAAGTTGCAGTGCATTTAATAAAGGAATTGAATTTAATTAGGTTACAAACACTAAAGATGAAATATTTATGATTCATGACAACATACAGATTTTAAATTTCATCTCTGTAATTTCCTCTGGAGAGGAAGTTGCTGAAAAAATGGGGAAAGTGAGGTTGCTTTAAGAAAATAAAACTACATACTCATGCTTGTCCTTTAAAATTGCTTTTTGGGGTTGGGGAGATGATTTGGTTTGTAAAGTGTTTGCCATTCATGAGGACCTGAGTTTGGTTCCGAGCACCCATGTAAACAAAGCCCTGTCCACACCTTTAAGCCTGGTACTCTGGAGGCAGCAGGTCTCTTAGTTGGAGGCCAGCCTAGACTACAAATAAGGGAGACCCTGTGTCCAAACAAACAAACAAACAAACAAACAAAGAACAAAATAAAAAGCCAGTGTGCATGCATGTGTGTCAGTGAGCTTTTGTTATCTCAGTGCTGGGTAAAGGCTGGAGGATCTCTGGGCCTTACTGACAAACCAGTCTAGTTTAATCTGGTGAACTCCAGGTTTAGCGAAACTCTCTAAAAAAGGGAAATGAAGTGTGGCTGTGGGGGATACCTGGTATCCAACTTTGGCTTCCACACTTATGTGTACGTGTGTCCTTGTGTCTGCCACCACACATACACATACAAAAATAAAACTTACTAAATTTTTTTTTTTTTTGTCAGTGCTAAGGATTGAACCAAGTGTCCTGCACATACCAGGCCAGTGATCTCCCACTGATCTGTTAATAAGGAAATTGTAATCTGTGCTGCCCTGTGTCAGGTCTGAAGCTTGTCCTGCCAATCCTGGCCTGTTTCAGCAGACTTAGAAATATTCATGCTCTAAGTTTTACTTAAGAGTCATATGGTAACCCTTAATAATAGAGGAGTAATGCACGACCTAAACATAATAGATGAGCTCTAGGCACACAGGGGAAAGGTTTTCCTCTGGGTGGGTAAGATCAAATGGTCATCAAGTGTGTTTTCATTTGCATTATTCTCTGAGAAGAAATGAAGGTTGAGAAAGAAGATGGAGATTTTGCTGAAATATGGAGGCATCTTTTAAGAAAATAACATAATATGGCTAAGGATTTTTAAATAGTTGAATATTTTAATTTGTCTTGGGACAAAGAAAGACTCAGCATGTATTAATTATATTGAATTGTTACTTAAAATGTTAATCCGATTATACCTGTATTTTTTCCCTAGCTTCACAAAATTCTGGGAGATAAGGTGAACAATACAGCTGTGATTGAGAAGCAAGTTCTAGAACTGTGGGACAGACTATATCACTCTTGGTTTGTAAAGGTAAGTTCTTTTACCCAAGAGTTTCCATAGTAGTAACTCAACAGTATTTTGTTTTATAGACTATTGAATATAGGACTTTATTAACTTTGGAATTTCATTTACTTTAACACCCCAGCAGGAAGAACTTAAGCCTTTGTTGGCTTCCATTGGTGGTATACCCCATTAGTCTCTCTGAGGTATCAGGGTTCCATTTTTTCTTCATAATCATGGCATCTCTTCCTCTGTGGTAGCTTGGTACAATACAGATGTGGTGCAAGCCATATCTATTTCTGTATTTATGGTGATGGGAATTGAACCCAGAGTCTCATGTGTTAATAAGCACTGGACTTGCCACTGAGCTACATCCCAAGCTTCTGCAAGCCACATAAGTGATACTAATTTTTCTAGTAACTGCATTAAATAACTAAACACAGGTAAGAATATTAAATGATTAAAAATGATGAAATTAATTTTAGTAATATATTTCATTTAATTCAGTGTTTCCACTACTGTAGTTCAGTATGTCCTTAATAAAAACATTTGGTATTTTATGTGCCTAAAACAACTACGTCTTTGAATTCTATAGTGTGCATTGTGCACCAGCAGCACAGCTCAGATTTAGTCTCAGCCACATTTTGAGTGTTGGGTAGCCACATGTGGCTAGTGGCTACTGTTAGGAGCAGGAGAATTCTAGATGTTAAATCCTTTCTCTTTGAGGAGACAGAAATGGATCTGAAGTTTGGAGACTTTGGTTTCCAGTCAGCTTTGTGTGTTGCTTATACTTATGTACTCTTGCTTTAGATGTATGGTAGAACAAATACAGCTACCACTAAGCATAAATAATGGTTTGGAAATCAGTGGGTCTGTTGAGCCAGTTCTGTGTATGCCAGGTCTGCTGGGCTGCTAAGAGCCATGTTCTGTGAATAATGGGGCAGAGCTTCTCTTTTTTCTAGGGTCAATGTAAAGAGAGGGTGCAGGAAGAGGGTAGCTGAGTTCCAGTCTCTCATTCAGTGACATGTTTCACAGTGTGTAGCCTTACCCTGAGGTGAGGATTTGAGGGTTAAAACTAATAGTGGTGTATGGAGTGGAGTATTTTCTCTTTGATTCTATCAGAGGAGCAATCTTACTAGTTTCCTGTGTTTACTCTGAGCTTCTTAACAACTAGCTTTTCTTGTCCTTCACCCTGTTTGAGCCCTTGTTGTTGGAGTGCTGGATTGAGCACAGATCTATCTGTACATGCGAAGGTGACATGTTCTCTTCCCTACTCTCACAGTGTAGCAGACTGATGAAGCATGCTGCACTCAAGGTGAAAAAATGGAAGGGCACACAAAATATTAAGAGCTTGCTTTTCAATCCTAACCTTATTTTGTTTATTCATTTCCCTTTCAAATTCAGTGTATTTTGCCTGTGTAAATTTCTTTCAGGCAGACAGACAGATTTGACAGTCCCTTTAAGCATTTGGTTCTTTGAAATAGTCTTCTTACCTTGTGTAGATGATTGAGAAGGGAGAAAGAGGTAAAGGTGTGAAGCCAAAAAAGGTGGAGGTGCTGAAGAAAATGAAATTTTATTTGAATTCTTTGGGTTCTGTGCACACAGGGGGGTATTGTAAGTTCAAAGCTAGGAGGGAAGCATGTGTATTGTGGTAGACACAGTACCCAGAACATGAATGCAGAAATACTAGGTACCCTTACTTGATATCTTACATTTGCAAGGATTTTCATAGGTAAGTACTTCCTGACGTGTGTATAAGCAGGTATAAAATAAAAGAGACATTTATCTTTTGGATGCCTTAAGATGGAAATTTCACATGTCACTGGCTTTGTTCCACAGAACGTGACACACTCTGGAAGGCACAAAGGGCACAAGATGCATGTGAGTCGTCAGAACAGCTGGCTGGGAGATATTCTGGACTGGCAAGATATTGCCTCCTTTGTTCATGAGAACATTGAAACATTCCTTTCGGTAAGACATAGTAGTTATTGTTGAACTGAATGTGGGAATAAAAAAAGTTGTAATTCTAGCTTTTCTTACATCAGTCTCTTCAGCTACCCTGCTTTGAATACCGTGAAATGGATAGGCCTTGACAGCTTTAAACTAGAAAGCTAGCCAGAAGCTTCAGTCCTCAGGTCTGGCTCTCATGGTATTTGCCATGGGTAAGAACACCCAAGAGATGCTAGATTTAATTCTGCAGCTCATGAACAAGCCTGTGGACTCTGGGTCCTAGGTGGGTGTCCTCATCCCTTAGGGTCACCAGAATGTTCTCAGCTGGACCATTAGAGAGAGATAGACCTATTTTTCTGGTTGGCAAAGCCCTTAATTCTGGAAGTAGGGCTCCAGTTACATTAGAGGGCTGACTGTGTCTTAGGTTTCTATTGCTGTGAAGAGACACCATGACCACAGCAATTACTATAAAGGAAAACATTTAATTAGGGCTGGCTTACAGTTTAGAGGTTTAGTCCATTGTCATCATGCTGGGAAGCAAGGCAGTGTGTAGGCAGACATGGAGCTAGAAACGGAGTTGAGAGTTGTACATCTTGACCCACAGGCAGCAGAAGTACTGGACATAGCTTCAGCATTTAAGACCTCAAAATCCACTTCCACAGTGACAGGGTTCTTTGAGCAAGGCCACACCTACTCCAACAAAGCCACACCTCCTAATATCGACATTCCCGGTAGGTCAGGCATTCAAACACCATCCTGTGGGGGCCATTCCTTTGCAGACCATCACAGACTGTTGGGTTCCCACTGACTCCTACCATGCTCCGGCTACCTTGCATCCTTACACTACTGCTGAGTGTTAATTCCCTCCCTTCATTTCCTAGAGCTGATTTTTGTCAGGTGTCTTGGCATGTGACTTTTCACAGAAAAAAATTTTCTTGTGATTGACTATATGTGTGACTTTCATCAAATTAAAATGTGTTAAGGCGCACAGTCCAAAGTTTTAAGGAATTTGAGTCAAGTAAAGCAATCCATGAGCATAGCTGAAGGCAGGGCCGCCTGTGTCTCCACACATTGGGCTCAGGACCAGCTGTCTGCCTTCTCTAGTGTCTTCCTCTGGATTGCTAAAGTGATGTTTACGTTGCTCTTTCTTGTGTTTTGCCATTTTAGATATTATCTTTTGGCTTCCAAATATGGAAGATGAAGGTAAAGATGTGACTTTCTTCCAAACCTCTCAGTGCTTTCTGACACTCTTCTTGGGGTTCCTCACAGCTCCCTCAACCACTTCCCTGCTCACACGCTTCCTTTCCTCTCACTCAGCGGAGGTGCTTCTCAATCTGGAATGAAATCTGAAAAGTGATCTTTATTTATGTTTTAATAATTTACTTAACTAAGGAGTGGGGATTTAACTACATTTCCCAGGCTGTTCCTGAGCTCATGGCTTCAAGCAAACCTCCTGCTGTAGTCTCCCAGGTTCTTCAGATTTCAGGCATTTGACAGTGTGCCCAAGTATTCTATTTTCGTAGCCCCTTTGCTCTATCTCTGCTAGCCCAGTGGTTTTCAAAGGTTTTAGTACTGGACTTCAAAGTGCATGTTTATCTATTCATTAAATAATTTTTCATTATAACACGAAGAACATGCTTTAGTGTGTTAAAAATACTATTTTCTGGGGCTGAGGAAATGGCTTAGTTAAAAAAGTGCTGCACACGCATGAGGGCCCCAATTCAATCCCTCCACACACCTCCACACCAAGTTGGAGGTGGAAGCATGCTTCCTTAACCTCAGTGTCTGGTGGGGCTGGGGTGGGATACCAGGACAGGCAGGTCTGGGGCTGTGCTAGACAGCTAGTCTATGTGAGTCAGTGCACTAGAGGTGCAGTAAGAGACTCTGTCTCAAAATAAGCAAGTAGAGAGAGATTAAGGAGGTCACCTGATGTTGACCTCTAGCCTCCACTCTCATGCAAACATAAACACAAGTGTTCACACACTAAGTGCACACATACACAGTACTATTTCCTAAGATGAAGACATATTGGGAAGTTATCTGTAGAAAACTAGGGGAGTTAATTAAGGCCTCTTAATTTACACAAACCAATTGGATGTGTGGGTTTCACCTTTGCTCTACATTCAGTCTATTGGGATCTGTTAATTTTGGCCAATGCATGGGAAGAACATCTATCCATCTCACACAGCAGGGTGGAGAGAAGCTCACCAGTGAGACCATGAAGGAGCACCCCACTCCCCATCCCATTGGAATATCTTGTAGTTGAGAAAGAGAAGCTTTTCCAGCTTGTAATTGTGGGAAGTTTTTGTTACTCAGCATGTGTGCTAGTCTGTGTGGTGTGAGATGTGAGGTGTGAAACTGTTAATAAGATTTTTATATGCTGGTTTATAGAAGTCCATTGGCCAATTTTGGTTAAAGATGTTTCTTTTACCCTTGTATGTATTGGTTATTCAGGATATTAGTTTGTTTATATCTGTATACCTTCAAAGTACTGAAAGTTTATTGAATGAACAATATTATTATAAATTACATTCTTGAGAGATCACCACCTCTCTCTTCAGAACAAAAGAACTTTTAAAACAACCTATGCAAATTTCTGTTTTAAAAAATGAGATTTTTTTTTTTGTTTTTTAAAGGGAGAATTCAGATTTTTGTATTCAGTAAAATCTCTCAGTATTGTTCCTTAAAGTATGACTGCATTTTTGAGGAAGTGTCTACCTGGTAGCACCTCTTTTCATAAACTTGATGTTCAGTGAGAAGGACCCCATGCTCAGTTCTCTCTCTCTCACTCACTCACTCACTCACTCACTCACTCACTCACTCACTCACTCACTCACTCATTCACAGCCATGCCTTTCCTCTGAGCTGACTGTTTCTTCACAGAGTCTGTCTCTTCTCTCAGCTTTTACTTGGGTTCTGGGGATCTAAACTGATCTATGTACTCAATCCACCAAGCCATCTCCTCAGCCCTAGTTAGTGACAAGTTCTGTGCTAGATGTTTTATAAATATTTTCTAATTTACTCCTCAAGTTCCTAGGGAGCTGATGAAATTGCTCTTGTTTTAGTAACAGACTCAGTAATAGTAAACATTAACATTTATATTCAGTTTTCCTTTTCTTTGCTTGAGGGGCCAGGTTCTTGTATAGATAGTATGGTGTGATCTTTTAGAACATGTTTGGTCCTCAGGGAACCTCTGTATCTCATTTCACACTTTTCTGTTTGTGTTTCATCCTTTACTTTGTTTGTTTTTTGGGGCATGGTCTTCTTTGTAGCCCTGAATGGCTTCACACTCAAACATATCTGCCCACCTATGCTTCCCAAGTGCTAGGATCAGTGTGTTTGCTCTACACACCTTGCTTTCCTTTGCTCTACACACCCAGCTTTCCTTTCTTTTCTGTTTTATTTTGGTAAGTGTTTTAGATCTCCCTAGAGTACTTCAGAAAACATGGAGGTTCACCTACATTCAGATTCCTCCTAGTTAATTGTTTTCACCTTTATTCGGTACTTTGGTATATTTGCCCGTTTTCAGTTTTGATGCTCAGTCTTTCTGAGTGAATGTAATTTTAAAGGTTTATTTATTTTTATTGTATGTGTATGAGTGAGTGTAGGTATGTGGTGCCTGTGGAAGTCAGGAGAGGGTATCAGGTCCTTTGGAACTGGAGTTACAGATGGTTATGAGCCACCATGTGGGTGCCATGAACCGAATCTGGGTTCTCTGTAAGAGCAGGCAGTCTTCTTTTGTTGTTGTTGTTCTTTGTTTTTGAGACAGGGTTTCTCTGTGTAAGATCTCTGGCTGTCGTGAGAGTCGCTTTGTAGACCAGGCTGGCCTAGAACTCACAGAGATGCCTGCTTCTGCCTGAGCGCTGACAATAAAGGTGTACACCACCACTGCCCTGCTTGCAGCCAATGAATGGTCTTAATAGCAGAGCCATACAACTCCTGACTAGATTTTAAATTCTTTATCACTACTTTAGATTATAGCCTGATATCAGATTGTCAACTACACTAAAGCTTACCTTTATTATTTTTGTGGTTAAAAGAACTTTGGCAGAGCTGAAATGGTATATTGAGACCTGGTGCAATTCCTTTCCTAGAAGCCTAGAGCAGAAAAGGTCAGTGGAGCACATGCAGTCCATGTCTCTGGGCTCCTAGAGTGACAGGGAGATAACTCCATCTTTGCAGGAGTTTTGCTGTGAAGACCACGGCAGTTCTTATAGAGGAAAATACTTAATTGGGCCTGGCTTACAGTTTCATAGTTTTAGTCCATTATCATCACGGCGGGACATAGAAGCATGCAGGCAGACATGGTGCTGGAGAACTAGCTGGGAGTTCTACGTTTTGATCCTCAGGGAACAGGAAGTGAACTGTATATCACACTGAATGTAGCTTGAGCAAAGGAGACCTCAAAGCCCACCTCCATGGTAACACACTTCCTCCAACAAGGCCACACCTACTCTAACAAAGCCACATTTCCTAATAATGCTACTCCCTGTGGGGGCTGTTTTCCTTCCACCCTCTGCAGAGGTACTGTCTTATTTTGACCTCTGCCTCCCTGCAGTATTGTATTTTTCCACTTTCTGAAGCTGCTTCTTTCTGCTTCTTGGGTTCCGTAGCAGGTCAGCTCAGAAGCACCCAAGAAGCCAAACGAGAGCCAGAGGTGATTGGATGTCAGTAGACCTGAGGAGGGAGGGCAAAGCAGGAGGATGCTGAGGCTATTGTTAATTCTAAGGGCCTGCATGACCAAGTTGCTTAACTGATTGTGAGCTTACACTTCATGGCCAGGGACTCGGTTTTAGGCATTTTTTTGGTTATGTTACTTACCACTGTTGATTTAATTAATGCCAGTCCTGGGTCATGTTTGGCATTTTTGAGTTGGGATACATTTTTGCCTCTTCGAACTTGTTGCATTTTTCCGAGTTTTATGGGCTTCTTCCTGATCCTGCCTTTGCTGATTCCCTCCTTTCCAAGCCTGGTGATTAAACTAAAGTTCTCCTTTGATGATTGGGTTAACATTCCAGAGCTGTCCTCTCTAGTTGATCCCTTTTCAAGTAAAAATGGTTACTGAGCTGTTGTTGGAGACTATCAGTCTACAATTGCTGTATTCAGTTAATTTCTTAAGAATTACAGGAGGGTGTTTTCTATTTCTGTGACTCAGAAACTATGTAAATTTTTTTTATTAAAAATTCCAGAGTGACTGAGGCCCCCAGAAGGGTGCTTGCCAAATCACAAATGCAGGCATTGTCTCTTAGAATCAATGTCCTTGTTCATTCATTCTTTATCCCACAAGGTCAAACAGTTAATCGTGCATACTTTTGTAGGCATAACGAAGTATTTTCAAAAATTTTTTGTAAGGAGTTTTTGTAAATGAAGCTTGCCTGTTGAATTCTCTTATGAAGACTGAGCTGAGGCAAGACATTCTGAGCACAACAGAATGTTCTTTATTAGTGGTGTATTTGAGGTGGGAAAGGAATGTACAGGCCTCTATAGATTGCATGTCATAACTCGAGCATGTGACAGGACCAGAGCTGCTATCTTAGAAAGGCACCAAAGTAAAATGTAGATGTCAGGGTTACCATCCTAGCTGCGGCAAACCTCTGTGATTGAGTTCATATGTCTGTGAAGTTGAGATAAAGCCCTTCACATTGCTTCCCTCACAGCCCTGTTTACAGGAGCATCTAACATCTGGAACAGAACATGTACAGTTGATTATTTTGCTTCGATGTTTTTTATCAGGAGGAAGAATAGAACAGACATATAAGGGGTTTTAGTTGATGAAAGAACAAGAAATGAAAACATGGAAGCATGATGAGACATTGACATCTTCCTTTAATCATATGTTGCATCTAACGTATGCACAACTATCTTAACTGGTTCTCATGAGTTTGTAGGTAATAGGTGAACTGAGTAGTCTCGGTCTATCCCAGGAAAGACTGTCATTGATGCTGACTGCTGTTTATTTCCATTGTGATTTCAAGTCATTGGAGTTAGAGATGGTAAGGATAGAGGATAGACAGCTAATCTAATGAGTGACCTGCACTTACAACCCTCCAAAATAAATAAAGCCATAGAGCATGTGTTCTGTCTTTTACAGTTAAGAGTTGTAGAACATATAAAAATTCTGTGTTTTAAAAGCAGCATAGGAGAAGCTGGCCATGGTGGTGTATACCTTTAATTCCTAATTCCAGCAGGTGGATCTCTTTGAGTTCAAGGCCAGGTTGGTCTACAAAGCAAGTTCCAGGACAGCCTGGAAACCCTGTCTTGGAAAACCAAACCAAACCAACAAACTAAAACCAGCATAATACAAAGTCTCTGATAGTTGCCTTACTGTTTGGTGTTGTTTGGAGTGGATTCACTGTAACTACTTAGACATTCTCTTTTCTATTGAACATAGATGTTTCTGGTTGCTTTTTTCCCCCTACCTTTAAGGTAAACATGGTTTATTTATTTATTTATTTATTTATTTATTTATTTATTATTGTTTTACTTTTTCCTTTATTGCTAGTAAGACAGTGCACTAAGAGCACACTAGATGGCTGTGCCTACTTCCTTTGTGAGGATTAGTTTTGACCCCAGCTGTCCCTCTCCCTCAGATCTTGGAGTCCCTGTGGATTGTTATGAGCCGGAATGTGAGCTTGCTGTTTACCACAGTTACCACGCTGCTGACCATCCTCTTCTACAGTGGCACTGCCCTTCTGAACTTCGTGCTTTCCCTGGTATGTACATCTAGATAGCACACACTGAATTTCCTTGTGGGCTCTGTATTTTGTGCATGTGTGACTTCTGTAGGTTCCCAAATGTGATCTTTTAGGAGATACTGTCCTTTGTTTTGCAGATAATTTTCCTGACCACACTGTTTTATCTGTTAAGTTCCAGTGATGAGTACTACAAGCCAGTGAAGTGGGTGATAAGCCTGACACCACTGTCTCAGCCAGGTCCTTCTTCTAATATTATTGGCCAGTCTGTGGAAGAAGCGATCAGGTAGGGACAAGGCTTATGCTGTTTTTACTCTTTACATAAGCTTTCTGTGACATTCCAGTTACCTTCCTTGTATTTTACAGAATTAGTCAATGTTGAAGGATGTTGGTGTTTTCAAGACCCTTGAAGAAGGTCCTAGAGGCTGTGCATGTGCTTTGAGGAAAAGTTCCAAGGAGTTTGCCACTGCACTCTGCTGCCTGTGCTTTACAAATACATAATGTCCATCTACAGATGGCCTTTTCATCAACAGGCTCTTAGTGCAGACACCATCACAATGTCATTTGCTCAGGAGAACCGTCCCCCTTCCATCACACAGTCTTCACCTCTCTGGAGAACCCCATCTTCAGTCACACAGCCTTTACCTCCCTGGAGAACCCCATCTTCAGTCACACAGCCTTCACCTCCTTGAGATCCATTTCTCAGGAGTTCTAGCTTGGAACTAGGCTGGGGATAGATGACCTTCCCGCCTCTTCTCTCTTTTTGTTCCAAGATGTGCCCTCTTCAGTGATAAGATGGTTATTAGAAACTCAGTGTTTAATTATCTGTAAGTCTCTGCATTGTATCTGGCCAAAAATTTCCATGAATCCTGCTTCTAGAGTCTATGTATTGTAGGCTCAGTTTCTAACTGAGATTCTTCCACTTTTTACCCCTTAGGCTCCTTGGTTCTTCTTTTTCTTTCTATTTTTGGTAAGGTTTTGCCATTTGTGCCTTAGGCCACTGTAGCTCCTTCCTTGCCTGTGTCTCATTGCCTAGTAAGAGGACGCTATAGTCTTAATTTTTGGATATCTAACTACTTGAAGTAAATAGTTGTGGCACACATCTTTTTTTTACTAAGGAGTAGACAAACAATTATGAAAAATGCAGTTTATTTCGTAAATGTTCAGTGACACCAAGTTGTTAGCTGAGTGATCTTAAACTCAGTTACATAGTGGAATCTTTGGCATTTTTGTTTCTACATAGTTCCAAAAGGTGCCACTGTTTGGAACTAGTCATCCACATGTACCTTGAACTGACCTGGCAGTCCTGAGTTCTCGTAGCTACCTTACCACTGTACTCATGGGACAGTTATGGAAATAGCCACCTTGACCTTTGGAAATCCTCAGTTATACTGCAGAAAAGTATGTGGACTCCTAAGGTATATCACGCTTGGAAATGCCACCAGCCTTCCTTCATTCCTGCTTGTAAAGCTCAGGGAAGGTCTTCTTCAACATTTTCCCTCTTTGATTGAATTGACTGTCATTTGGCATGTTTTTCATCACTATCTATTGATCCACAGAGCCACATGTCATTTGGCATTTTGAAAAATTGCTCTTATTACCTGTCTGGGACCTTTGAGTGTCTGTTCAGACATCATATAAAGATTCCACTTTGGAAGTGTATTATCTAACACTGCAACTACCAAAGTGATTGTTGTTAGAGAAATAGTTTTAACAACCCTTTCAAGTCTGTGTCAACTCTTGCATCCTTGTTGGATGAATAAAATGAAGAAAATTGCAACAATAGGTTATCTTTTGTTTATCCACTTAAGAAAAGTTTGCAAATATTCTACCAAAAGGAAAAACAAAACAACAACAACAAAACAAAATAACCTGCCCTCTTCCCAGTAGCATAAGCCATTGGAATAACCTTTTCAAAGGCGGGTGCCAGTATGACTAAGGCCAAGCTGTATAGGAAGATAGGTACATTGCCCAAGAAGAGCTTTCAAGGACCAGCAGTGCTCTAGCTTTCTTCCAGAGCAACCTTGTTCTCACATAAGCTTCGACTTCCTCAGATTACGATTCTGGAATGTTCTTATGCTGCTTTCTCAGAGAGTACAGCTTTCTGACTGACATTGAGTTGCTTAATTTTATACAAGATACTTCTGCACTCTCCCTATGCCAGTCTCTCTTGTCTTTTTTGAAACTGGCTTTGTCACCCAGGCTGGCTTTGAACTTGATATCCTCCCCTCTATCCCTGTTTCCTGAGTACCATGCCAGGTTTCGGAATAGAGTGTGTGTGTGTGTGTGGGGGGGGGGGATTAGTATCAGCACTCCTGTTGTCTCCGGTCTGAAAGCTAATAGGTGGGCTTAAATCTTGGGCAGCCCGTTTTCAGCTGTGACTAAGTGAGCTTTTGCAGGCTCCAGCCCTATGTGCTATTTCTTTACAAGCTTATAACAAAGGCTCAACAAGTTCAGGCTCTCCATGGGCAGGAGGGAAGATGGCAGTGAGCCATGTCTAAGAGCCTAAGAATTTTCATTCTGAAGGATTGTTCAAGTAGTAATATATTTGTAGATAAAGATTAAGAAGAAGAATAGGTAAACAATTATAAAAATTGCAGTGTATTTTGTAAATGCTCAATGACACCGGTTTTATAAATAAGTCATTGCTCATCAGTGTATGGTCAAGAGAAAAATCATTAAATTAATTTTGTGTGATCCTTTAATGAGTTACAAGTGGAATGAGATTGATGGTTCATTGCATGATTGGCAGAAGCGTGTCCTGGGAGCTTTGCCCTCTGAGCTGTGTGGTTCATTTGTGATCACTGTGGCCTTGACATTTGAATCTTATTATTTTAATTCTAAATCCACATTCTTTCAAATTGAGTCACTTGTCATTGAGTTTTCATTTCATCGGTTTTTGAGTTAGTGGCATGCATCCTGGATCCCCAACCATTTTCCTCCCTTTAGCAGCATGCTGTCTCCTGAATGCACACATCACACCCTTCTCCCTGATGCTCCCATTCTGCTTGCTCTGGTGGAGATATTGCACATTACTAAGTTGCATGTTGTCACGGCCTCAGTGCAATTTAGTGTGTGTGATATTTTCACGTGAGTGCATGCACGGGTATGGCTCTTGCTTGCTGGGATTACAGCTTTTCCATGCTGGAGGGTGGAACTCCTGGTGATGAATTAAATGTGAGATTTGGTTCAGAGAATGGACATCTACCTTTTACACCCAATTCTGAAAAGTGAAAGTATTCTTTCTAAATTTAGTGTTGTTCCTTAAGTAAATTGATGTTTCCAGTTTCAAATTTTAAGGAATTGCCGACTGAATGAAATTCTTATAGATTTAAAATTGTAAATAATACATGTTTAGAGTAAAATGTGCAACAATGAATATAAAGTCATTTTATTTGTTTGTTTATTTACTTATATTTTGTGAGTTTTTTGAGACTGAATTTCTCTATGCAGCCCTAATTGTCCTGAAATTTGCTCTGTAGACCAGGCTGACCTCAAACTCACAGAAATCTACCTGCCTCTGAGTGCTGGGATTAAAGGCATGTGCTACTACCCTCTAGCTAAAGGTTTTTTTGGGGGGGGCGGTGGTTGGAGGCAGGGTTTCTTTGTATTGCTTTGGAGGTTGTCCTGGAACTTGATCTGTAGACCAGCCTGGCCTCGAACTCACAGAGCTCCATCTGCCTCTGCCTCCTGAGTGCTGGGATTAAAGGTGTGAGCCACCAACACCCAGCTAAAATTATTTTTTTTTTTTAAAGAAGTGTTTTTAAGCTGGATGTGGTGGCATGTGCCTGTAATCTTATAATTTGGGAGGCTGAGGAAGTAGAATTGTAAATTCTATGCCCGTTTGAGCTACATTAAGATTAGGTTTAAGATTAGTTTGAGCTACATAGCAAGACCAAAGAAAATCTAAAAAAGAGAGGGTGGGATATTTTTGTTTGAGATTTTATAGCATTGAAATAAAGAGACTGCATTTCTTATGTATGTTTTAGGAAATTAAATTATATGGAGCAAATAATGCCTCTTAGCTGAGTGGTTAAATGGTAGTGTTATATATTTGAATGTATTTTAAGTTCAAAGGAAAATAGTCTTAAAATCTTCGTCTTGTATGTAGTTTCTGATTGTGATACTTGCTACATTTGTTTTGTTGAGCTTAAAATAAAAGTTTTTGGTACTGATGTCTACTATTATGTAGTGGAAACCCTTTAAAAACTTTTAAGCATTAATTATTCATAATCAGTAAGGATACATAATATCTATTGTAAATATTAGTGATATAAACGTTCTGAATGAATGTATGTCACGCCTGCGAGAGCCTTCAGATGCTGTCTAGAGTTGGATACTTTTGTCTGTGACTCAAAGCTGTTCCTTGTGCAGCTCTGCTTCCCCAGACTGCTCAGCAGCCTCTGGGGCCAAGTGCACAGCTGTAACCTTGACTCTTATGCTGAAAATTTGTTGTTGCTGGGTTTCTGTGCATTGACTGTGGAGCCAGTCTCTGGGGCACGTGAAGTAGGAGAGGGAGAGGGGGAGGGGAGTGGTGAGGTAAGAGAGGTTAGGTGTACAGGTGCCTACTAGGAGATAACTGGTGTTTGCCTCCAGACTGTTGTCTTAAAGTAGATAATTAATGCAATAAAGCAACACAGAATGTTTGGATTTCCCTCTTACCTCTACAGTATATGTGTAACCTGTAGTTTCTTAATTGTACAGTAGTATTGCCTCTTAAATATAATTGTATATTATAATTAAAATGTTTTTGTAGAAATACATTGCTGATTATCTGAGTTGTTGGAAAAATGGATCTCATAGACTGGCTACATTTATTTAGGGTTGACTCAAACCTTCAATTTGTTAAATTCCAGCTTCACAGTATATGAATTGGAAGAAATGGTGGTACACCCATGGTCAAGGGACTGGTGCTGTTCCCAGTCAGAATGTTGCACCCAGTTTCTTGCTACTCATTGCCCTCCACTAGCTTCTTCTCTATTTGAGACACTGTATCGCGTTGAGGATGTGAATTAGGCATGAGATGACAATGACCTTCATTGTCACTCAGTACAAATATTCTTTGCCTTATTAGGGAAAAACAAAGGGGCAGAGGAAAGGAAGGCTGGCTGTGTACAACTTTTGGAGCTTTTCTTCCACAGCGATGTTTGTGTACATGGAGCGTAGCTGGATTGGAGTACTATGTTTTGCCTTTGAGAAGCGAGGCAGATAGAGGATAGAGGAGTCTGAGCTGTAGTGTCTTTGTATGTGGGGCCAGGGATCATATGTCAGTGTGTAATAATGGAAAGTCTGAGGAGGGAAGTGGTTCAAATACCAATGAAGAAGAAACTGACATCATCCATTGAGGTATTTGAACTGCCAGAAGAGGGGAGAGTGTACCCAGCATGCCTTGGATTTGATTCTTGTCAACTGCTGAGTGCTAGGAAAGCCCGGGGACACAGTTAACAAGTTCTCATAATGTTTGAACCAGGGACAGAACAGCCCTAGAAGGCTGCACACAAGCAACAACCATTTCCCTAAAAGAGCAGGGTGGGTGGGGAGTGGCTACTGAACTCTGAAGGGCAAGTGGGCAGCACGTTATTATTAGGGTGGTGACCATGATGCTGACGTTGTTTCAACCTTTTCAGGGGGTGTTTGGTCATGGTGAGCAGTAGAAGGGGATGCCTGTTGGCACTTTGACATCACAGAACACAGATTTTACACAGTTGTTGTTAAGAACTGCCACAAGTCTACATCTGGTGGTTTCGAAGAGATTGGATGATGTATATCATACTGTTTTCCCTTGATATCAGTGTAGGAATGTGCACACTGCATTTGGCTATCCAAAAAAAAAAAAAAAAAAAAAAAAAAAAAAGATGTGGATTAATTTGCACCAATGAATGAAATGATTTTTCATTGTAAACTTTGTTGTTACCATGATGGAATCAACTAGCCCATCTAACTGTCTTGTGTACATTTGTGTGCAGTTCGTTAGCTTGTGCCAGAGAGGCTTTTCTTTGACTAGGAGAGCAAATTACTATCAGTTTTTTGAGTGTATGTGTGAGTGTGTGTGTGTGTGTGTGTGTGTGTGCACGTGCATGCCTTATACATTTCTTCACAAGCTCTGCTGTTCAGCTATATCCCCTTGTGTTTAAACGTGCTTTATTGTATACTAGATGTCCATGTGTATCTCTAGACTGTACTTCATTTTGTTTTTCTGGACTGTGGTATCTGGTTATTGGTGGTACTGTAGTGGTTTAATTGTAAATGCATTGTGATTATTTTGAAATGCTGGTGATTGAACCCAGGGCCTCAGGTGCTAAGTGAATGTTCTACCCCTGAGCTATAGCTTCTGAATCTGGGATAAGTTCAGCATTATAGGTTCTTGTTCATATAACCTTAAATAATAAAGTTGCATTTGCTTCCTGTTGATAGTATACCACAGTAGTGTGTGGTTATTTGGCCTGCCCGACTCCTTGTCCCGTGGTTTCTGATAGTGCTGCACTCTGGTGATTTTCTCCTACTGCAAAAATGATTCTATGCCCTCTTTGGCTGATGTATCGTCCTTAGGTCAATTGAGAACACAGCCTGTTTCCTCTTCCTCTCCATGCTTGCCCCTTTGAGGGTGTCCTTTCCCTTCCTGTAATTAGGCTGCTGCACTTTATGCCTACTAAGCCTTGCCTCTTATTTCTGCCTCCTCTCAGATGTTTCCATCGTTCTTTGGACTCACATTTCCAGACCAGACACTCTCCCTTTCTTCTCTCCTTAACCATGTTTCCCTGTGTCATTTCTTTTTTTTTCTTGGACTCTTCAGTTTCTTTGTTCCCCATGGGGTAGCTCCCCTCCTTCTGTCTTTTTGATATATTTAAATCTAGGTCTTTGCTGTGAGTCACATGACACATTCTTGAGTGACATCATTAGTAAATATGGCAATGGTTTTGCAGATGGGGAACTACTTTAACACCATGTCTCAGAGCCCCAGTAGATGACAGAGTCACCAGACTGCAGACTTGCTTTGCTCTGGGATCTTCCTGGAGTCTTTGCAGAAAGCCTTTGCTTTCTTTGTGTGCAGTGTTACCTTTGCTGTCACCATCCTCTTTTTTAGTGACAGCTTCACCTTGTGAATGTCCACCCCAACAGAGTCCAGGCTTCTGGTTCTGTGATGCCTGAGGTTGAGGCTGCTGCCTTTTCCATACAGGGCTGCCTTGTTCTCTTCCAATGGAGAAGCAGGAATGAAGCGCCCTCATGCATCATACGAAGATTTAACCACAGGACATGTGCCTATTTTCATTCTGTGTATTTTCTTGCCTGGTTTTACCCTGGAGTTAGTATTTGTGCGTGTCCCCAGATGACTTGCATTATTTGATACCAGAAGTTACTATGTAGTCTTGGCTGCATAAAGAAATGTATGAAAATGCTGTTTAAAGAAAAATGGTCAGAGTATAAGGTAGACTGTTCTCACTCCTCTCTGGCCCATCCCTTTCTTTCTGTTACTTTCCCTTCTCTCTCTCCTCATTGCCCTTCTTCTCTTCCTTCTGTGCTGGGCCTTGAACCCAGGATGTGGAGTGTGCTCCACCACTGAGCTATTCTCCCAGGCTCACTTGTTTTTTTTTGAATGTGGACTGGGTGTAGCTTCGATTTCTTAGAACTTAATTCTGTCTTTAGACACATGCTATTTATACTTAGGAAATATAATTGTTACCCAGGAAATATCTGCTTAGAAGTAGAAAGTTGACCAGGCAGTTTTTAATCCCAGCACTCAGGAGGCAGAGGCAATCAGATCTCAGAGTTCCAGGACAGCCAGGGCTACACAGAGAAACCCTGTCTCCAAAAAAAAAAAAAAAAAAAAAAAAAAAAAAAAGTGGAAAGTTACCTGTGCTTGTATAGCATGTACAAGGCCCTGAATTTGAATTTGACACTGTGCCCCCACCCACCCACCCATCCCCGCCCTTCTCCAGGAATAGAAAGTTGGTGAGTTATTTCAGTGAATAAACTATTTGAGGATGTGTTGTTTATATATCTTCTCAACAGGGAGATATGTAAAGAGCAGCTTGGAACTCAGGTTCCAGTGTTGTAATAAAGTAAATAGCGTTCTCAGAGATAGGCTGTTGCCAGATTTGGAATTTGTTGTCAGAAACCCAGAGGTGATGATTTTTCTGAACCATAACATGTTGCTAGGGTTAATTGCCTTTTCTTTTCTCTTTGGGTCTTCTAGAGGGGTATTTGATGCTTCCCTCAAAATGGCTGGCTTCTATGGATTGTACACCTGGCTGACTCACACTATATTTGGCATCAATATTGTCTTCATACCATCAGGTAACAACCATATACAGAACTTCCTGACTTCCTTGTTAAGCAAAGTTAGACCTTACATTAGAGCTGGCTTCTTCCTTAGAGTTAAGATAGGCAGTCTGGTGGCTGGAGGTCTCATCTAGATGAACACGTCTGCAATGTGCTTTCCTTTTGCTGTAGTCTCAGTATCTGGAACCATACCCATTGCATAGAAAATCATGTGCAAGTGTTTGAATGAGTAAATGTCCTAGCACTTTGCACAACATTGAACACATAGTTGGTATTCAACAAATTAATTGAACTGATTGGCAGGCAGTGAGCAGCTTGTTTCATAACTTTGTCCCATGAGGGATACCATCCCAAGGGCAGGATGAGTGTGTCTGGGTGAACATAAGCAGCTGTGCCTGTTGTGATCTGTTCTAAGAGCAGCACCTTCATTCTGCAAGCCCACAGGGACAGATGACAAGCTTGCTCCTTTTCCTTTGTTGGTTCAGAACCCTCCTTCCACTTTTTCTTCTATTTTTGTCATTGTTCTTAAATATCCCTTCCTGCCTTCCACATTTACCTCTGCTGTCTCTTTTTTACTTTCATTTGTTTCCTTCTCCTTATATCTCCACAGTTCATTCCTGATTTTTCCCCACTGAGCTGTCTAGTAAACCCCCTCTGATTGTCATGTACCCTGAGGCCACACAAAACTATTGTGTAATCATCTTGAGGCAGGCAGGAAAGGTGATAGATAGTTGAAAACCAGTTTTTCAAGGTCACCCAAATGGTTAATGGTTGAACCAGAAGAATCCACATCTGTGTGGTTCTTAGTCTGGAGGGAGCCAAAGAAAGGAGAGTGCTTGGACTGTTTTGGAACAGGGCAGGCTTGAAGTAAAGTCCTTTACTTAGGACTTTGTTATATCTAGTTACTTTTTTGTTTTCTTTTTAAGTTGCAAAGTAAAGAATAAGAATTCAACCTGAAATTTATTTAGGTTGACTTGAGGATCAGGACATCTTGGTGAATGTTCTACGGGTATATTTATAGGACTCGAGTTTAGCCATGGGACAATAAAATTTAATACTTAAGAATAACATAGACTATAGAGGCTCAGGGTTTAAGAGCACTGGCTGCTCTTCCAGAGGACCCTAATCAATTCCTAGTACCTATATAACAGTTTGCAGTTGTCTGTAAGTCCAGTTTCAGGGAATCAATCTGACACCCTCACATAAACACAACAACAATGTAGAGAAAACAGTAAGTCATTTAGAAAAGAAAAGAACAAAAGCTAGACACATTAAAAATTTTGTTTGTTTGTTTGTTTTGTTTTTCAAGACAGGGTTTCTCTGTATTGTTTTGGAGCCTGTCCTGGAACTTGCTCTGTAGACCAGGCTGGCCTTGATCTCACAGAGATCTGCCTGCCTCTGCCTCCCGAGTGCTGGGATTAAAGGTGTGAGCCACTAACTGCCCAGCCACATTAGAAAATTTTATAACAAGTGGCACACGCCTTTAATCCCAACACTCAGGAGGCAGAGGAGGAAGAGGCAGGTGGATCTCAGTGAGTTTGAGGCCAGCCTGGTCTACAGAGAAAGTTCCAGGACAGCCAGGGCTACACAGAGAAATGGTCTCAATTTCCCCTCATCTAAAACAAAACAAAACAAAAAACAAAACCCCATAATGGACTGTTATTTAACTAGAAAGTTTAGTTATACAGGTGCTACCTGTCCTCTTAAAACTGAAGTTTGTGTTCACTTTCTTGTTTGGATAGATTTTTTCCCCCTTCAGGAAAGGCTTTCTCTGTGTACCCCAGGTGTCCTGAAACTCACTTTGTAGATGAAGCTGACTTAGAACTCACAGAAATCCTCCTGCTTCTGCCTCCCAGGTACTGGGATCAAAGGCATGAGCTACCAACTGCCCAGCTGTTTGGGTGGTTTATTAAGATGATTATTTTTATTTATGTGTGTGGGGGTTTGCATGCATGGGTATATGGATTTGCTTCACATGTGTGCAGTGCCTGCAGAGACCAAAAGAGCGTGTCAGATTCTTTGGAACTGGAGTTAGGTCTCCAGCAGCAATGGGCTGTTTTTAGGGAGGGAGAGATAGTGTTTGGGTTCTCCTGCTTTGTAACTGTTTTGTCAGTGACTTTGATTTGCTTTTCTTTTACTCTTGTATTAGCTTTGGCAGCCATCCTTGGAGCGGTGCCATTTCTGGGGACATATTGGGCAGCAGTGCCTGCCGTTCTAGACCTGTGGTTGACACAAGGGTTAGGATGTAAGGCCATCTTGCTCCTGATCTTTCATCTCTTGCCAACATACTTCGTAGACACTGCAATCTACTCTGACATATCAGGGTAAGTGTTCTCAGGTTCTTGCTAAGTCATAGGGTGTTTAGTTTTGGGAGAGATGGGGAAGGACTTGTGGCAGAAGTTTTCGGTTGGGCAGCCTTTGATGATCCCTGACAGTGAAATTTGGATGTAGAATAACATTGCTATGATAGGGGTATGATTGTTATTATGTAAGATTTATAAAGCCCAAAGTTAAGATAAAATTATGCATAATTCTGTTTTGATTTTTGTGGCATTTAGCCTAGGAAAGAAATATTACCAGGCATACCTAAAATATTGTAAATACAGTAAAGAGTTATTTCAGTGCTGCCTTGCCTTTGGAGAAAATGATTATGCAGTTGTTTATACATCTACAGATTCCAACATAAGGTAAATCTCAGCATGCTCTAACACCTGTGCTCTCTTGAGATACTGTGTATGATTCATGAGGAACACAGCTGCACCTTAAAAGTAGTCAAACTTTGACGATATGATGATCTATCTTTCTTGGTTTTGATACCTGTATAGAGATCACATCCTGTCCTCAAGCAGGTTGTCACTTAGACATGTATCCTGGTTTACATTGTTCATTAGAATCTAGGTCCCAACCAAGTGGGACCTGTGACTTAAAATTCAGAATAGAGGCCTATGGAACCCACCCAAAGCAGTTATAGCAATTATTACCTTCGTTATTATGATGATTATTGTTTTGAGAAAGGATCTCACTGTGTAGCTCTGATAGACCTCCTGGTTAACAGTCCTCCTGCTTCAGCTTCCTAAATTCTGTTGCACTTGAGGCTTACATCTGGCCTCATTCAGTGTCCTGTTAGTAAATAAGAGATACAGTGGGGTTGAGTGCCTATGGGGTGGGCGATAGGGAGGAAGATTTAAAAGCATAACCAGGGATAGTAGTGTACACCTTAGTCCCATCTCTTTGGATGCAGAGACAGGTGGATGATCTCTGTGAGTTCAAAGTCAGCTTGAGTCAGCCCATCCAGGGCTACATAGTGACATTCTTGTCTCAAAAAAAAAAAAAAAAAAACTTAAAGGCCATCTGGACAGAGCCTCAGCTTCTAGAAACAGCTATCTTCAGCTATTTTAAGTTCTCTAGAATGAATTTATATGGTGACATATTTCCTCTCAAATAAGTTAAAGTTAGAAAATAGTGTAGAATAGTGCAGAAACCCCATTGAACCAGAGTGAAATGAAACAGGCAACCCCAATCTGTCCTGTAGGGGAATTTATATGCTTCCAGCTTGAGAGGGAAAAGTAAAGTTGCCAAAAGTGTCACCTAGGTCTGTGATTCCAGCATTCAGGAATCAGAGTCAAAAGGATTGCCAGTTGGAGGCCCACGTGAGCTACATAGCAAGATCCTAATTCAGCATCAAAAAACAGCCTGATGCTAGAGAATTGTCTCCGTGTTAAGAGTGTGTATTCTTCTTCCAAAGGACCTGAGTTTGGTTCCCTGCACTCACATTGGACAGCTCACAATTGTCTGTATCTGTAGTTCTAGGGAATCCAAGATCCTCTCCTGGCATGCAGTCATACAACACATACACAGAAATAAAAATCTCCAACAAAAACAAAGCCTGGCTTAGTGGTGCACACTTGTAATCCCAGCACTTGAGAGGCACAGGAAAGAAAGTAACCAATATTTCAAAGCCATTTATTTTACATTGCAAGCTGCAGGCCAGTTAGGGCAGCAGGGTGAGACTCCACTTCAAATCAGCCACCCACAGTCAGTACAGTGGTCAACTGATATTTTAAAAGTTGAGGTTTAAACAGTATATGATTTACACTTGTGCTCCATAATATTTAAACCTTGCTATGAATTGTTTAGATTAAGAGTTATAATTTAAGGTTTATATATGTGGTTTTTCTCACAACAGATACTTTATTTGATCAGTGTTATTAGGAAATGAAAAGTTTGGTGTATATTACATATTTTAATAATTTATTTTTATTTCATGTGCTTTGGTCTTTTGCCTACATGTGTATCTGTGTGAGGGTGCCAGATCTTGGAGTTACAAACAGTTGTGAGCTGCCACATGGGTGCTGGGATTTGAACCTGGGTCCTCTGGGAGGGAACAGTCAGTAGTCTTAACTGCTGAGCCATCTCTCCAGCCCTAAATTATATTCTTTAATTAACTTTTATTTAAAAGTCCTGCTTCCCCTACTTAAGCCTTAAGAATTTCTGATAATAATTTTCTTCAGACATATTGTTTAGGGAAAGTCTACCTGACATATGTGGGCCACTGCTATAAATCTCTTTTTGAAAGAAGGAAGAAAACTAAATTATGAACATTATGTTTTTGTTTCTTGAAGGCTGGCTTACCACAGGGTGTGCTTGTAAACTGTAATATATTATCAAACATCCTTGCTGTATCTTTTAAGTATTTACCCTCATTAAAATGTTCCACTCATTTGTGTTATTTAAAAACTAGAAACAAACAGACGATGACCATTCTTCATCCCTCTTACGTCAGAGGTTAGGGCTTATCTACACTCTGCTGCTGTGTCTGCCTCACTCCATCCCATCAAGCCAGCGGTGCCATGATAAGCTGCGGGACAGTTATGACGCCTGTGAAATAAAAGTCTTGGGCTTTGTTGACAGATGCTTTCCTTATGTGGCCTTTTATTACACCCGTGGTAACCATATTTTTAGAAGGTTGCCAGAGGTCTAAACTGAGGAGTATTGCTGTTACTATTTTATACAACTATAATTATTGTTTTATTAAAGAAGCCATAGTTAACTAAATGCATACTAAATTGACTCTCTATTATCATTAAAGGAAGTAAACCTAGCAGGTATCTTAGACAACCAGCAGGAATTGTCTTCAGGAAGCCGTGTGGATTGGGTACAAAAACTACCTGATAATAGCTAGTCCTGTGAAAAGAGGCAGATGTCACTCATTGGTACATATGCAAAATCCTTGTATCTCAGTATTATTATAATGTTCTTGATTCTGCCTTGATGTAGTCTAAAGAAAGCTAGTAGCAGAGTAAAGCCTGGAATATTAGAGAACCAACATTGTGTTAGAAAGTATTTGGGGTTTACTCCACAGCTGGTACTCATTAGAAGTCCCTGACTGGTTTACTCTTTGTTCCAGAGGAGGCCATCCTTACCTGACTGGCTTAGCTGTGGCTGGTGGAGCATACTATCTGGGCCTGGAAGGAGCAATCATTGGGCCCATACTACTCTGCATACTTGTGGTCGCTTCCAATATCTACAGTGCCATGCTAGTGAGTCCTACGAATTCAGTGCCCACACCAAATCAGACACCGTGGCCTGCTCAGCCTCAGCGGTGAGTTCAGCAGCAAGACAGTAACCATGTGTAGACATAGACTGCCCTGTCTGTTTTCAGTGATTAGCTGCATCTAGACTCAGCAAAGTAAAGAAAGGTCTCTGAGCACTCACTATCCATGCAACATATTTCCATTAGACCTCAAATTTTGTAATACACTCTCGACATCAGATATTCTGCTTATTGATATTCTGGCTATAGTCACTTTAAGAATAGTTTTGAACAAGGTCTGAAGTGTACTGTGTACTCTTGAGATATTTGTGTGGACAGTGTTTTTACTGGAAATACTTAACCATTTGTTTTTCTCCATCCAGACAGGGTGTCTCTGTAGCTTTGGAGCCTATCCTGTAGACCAGGCTGGCCTCGAACTCACAGATATCCGGCTGGCCTCGAACTCACAGATATCCACCTGCCTCTGCCTCCGAGTGCTGGCATTAAAGGTGTGCACCACCACCACTTGGCTTCACTCACTCTTTTTCATTGTTGTCTGGCATGCCTGTGTATGAATATACAGTCTCATTTTTCAGTGTAGTATTGAAAGCTTGCCGTTTTATGGCTGTTGAAAGACAGGATTCTGTTAATTGTCTAATGAATTGTGTTTCATGTGCTTGTGTACCTAAAAGTAGAATGTCTGCTGTGTTTCAAGTTTAATGTTAAAAACTTGCAAAACAGCTGGGCAGTGGTGGTGCATGCCTTTTATCCCAGCACTTGGGAGACAGAGGCAGGTGGATCCCTGCTAGTTCAAGGCCAGCCTGGTCTACAGAGTGAGTTCCAGGACAGGTTCCAAAACTACACAGAGAAACCCTGACTCAAACCTTGCTCCACCCCCTAGCCCCCCAAAAAAATCTTTGCAAAGTAAGGCAAGTATGTTGGCTCATGCCTGTAATCCCAACATTGGAAGGCAGAGGCAGGTGAGTTATCAGTTTGAGTACTCTGACAACCTAGTTAAACCAGAACCAAACAATGAAAACTTTACAAAATGGGGTTTTTGTATAAAATATTCAGATATATAGCGTAGCAAGTTTCAGAACAACAACAAAAAAATTAATTATTTTTTAATTTTGGTTTTTCTTTTTTTAGAGACAGGGTTTCTCGTGTAGCATTGGCTATCCTGGAACTCAGTTTGTAGACCAGGCTGACCTAGAACTCAGGGATCTGCTTGCCTCTGCCTCCTTAATGCTGGCATTAAAGTTGTGCACCGCTACCATCACCTGGTAAACTTCTGGTTACTTCATTATGTTGTCTAGCTTGTCTTCAAGCACTGATTTCCATGTTGTTGTGTATTCCACTGTATTTGAGTACTCTGGCTGACAGTCCACTCACACTTTTAAAGAGTGGTGCCACTCATTTTGTTTTAAATACCATATATTTGGAATTGAACACAGTGGCTACTTAGTTGGAGTCAGTTGCTCAGAAGCCCATTAGAGCTAATGCCGTTTTTTGAGACAGGATCTCCCTGGCCTGGAAGTCAGAGATCCTCCTGCCTCTGCCTCTGCCTCCAAATGCTAGGGTTAAAGGTAAGCGCCACCACACCCTCATTTAATGCACCCTTTTATTGATGGCTAAGGAAAGTCATTTTCCTCAAGAAGAATAGAGCACAGGGGTATAGGTGACTGACGAAGACCTCATCAGCTGGGGCTGGCGACACTAGACTAGGTCTTTTCTTTCTCTCCCCTCTCTCCTTCCTTTTCTTGGAGCAGTCTCACTGTGGAGCCAGGCCAGCTGAGTTCACACTCCACTCTTTAGCTTCCTGAGTGTGGTGTGTGCTGCCACGCAGGTGCTTGGGTACCTGCAAAGTCAAGGCATAGCTTCTTCCAGGCATTGGAGGAAGAACAAAAAATTTGTTACTGTTTTGCTGTTATTTTTTTTGGGGGGGGTCTCCTAATAATTTTTAATATATAAGACAAGAGTTACTTTAAAATGAAACAAAAATCCAAGCATAGAGAGGAGACCTCTTTTTCTTCTCCTGGATGTAGGAAGTTGTATCATCAAGTAGAGGGCGCTGGGAAATAAGATGTGAGGACCAATAGATAACCACCGTTATTTCCTTCAGCCATTTGTGCTTGTGGACAGTTTTTACTGTGCTGATTGTGAAAAAAACAAAGGCTTTTATTTTCCCTGTGCAAGTGGTATCAGACAGTGAAGGTTTTGGGGTTTGGCTCCCGTAGAAAGTGGGGCACTGCATCTGTAGTGACTGACCTGACAAGGCCATTGCCCTGTGCAGCCCTCGATGGCTACACTTTCTGCTCCCATTTGTGAGCTGATTGATTCTTCACAGATCTTCAGGTCTCCTGGTTGGAGGTAGCAAGCCCAGCTGCAGCCAGGAGCAGAGAAGGGGTGATGAGTTGAGGATGCAGAGATCTGCTGTGGGCTTCCTACCCTGTGCTAATTAATACACAGTCCACTTGCATCTCTGCCTGTTTTCCTAGTTCAGAACTCCTTCTTGTCTCCAGAGAAGAGGAATTAATTTCTTCCAAGGACCCAGGAGAAGTGACAGCTGCTTGGTGTGGTGGAAGTAGGTGGGGATGTTGGAGGGGGAAGTGGTGTTTCAGGCTTTCTTAGCAGATGAGCATCAATTCATTGCTCAGCTACACCCTCCAGTCTCATAGTTAGCCCATGTTACCTACTTGTGAACCTTATGGTGATTTTGCTGAGTGAATTTAGGTTGTTTTAGGCTCCTACTAGGCTTGGAATTCCTTCTTTTGAGAGGTGGTCAAGTCCCAGTGGTTGCCTGTTGGATTCATTCCACCAGTCCCCAGCTGTTAATGGGTGCTTGTACTGACACTCGGTGTTTGATAGACCACTCTTTCAATGAGCAGTTTTAAATGGCTGTTTAAGTAGTAACACACGTGACACTTGTAACATTTATTGAAACTTACTATGCATTGAATCCCATGATAAATATGTAGCCCCAGTTGGCCTGGAATTCACCTGAAATCTACCTGTCTGCATCCTCTGAGTTTTGGGATTAAAGGCATACATCAGGCCTGGTTCTTTGTGTGTGCTGTTCTGCACCTATTGTTGTTTTTCATGATGCTTAGATGAAGTTTAGAGATGTTAAGTTGCCCTATGATTACATAGTTCAAGCTTCCAAGCTGACCTGTTTCAACTAATGTCTTTGTTTTCCCTAAATGCTCTGTCACCCAGAACAAACCAACCACTGCCTTCACTCTGTGTGTTCTAACTCTGTAACTGTACCCTTTCACCATCTTTATCCAGTTTACCTTGAATCTGTCTTTGCCTTTTATCCCTAGAGCCACCAGCATCTGAGCTGGGCATTTCTTTGGGACTGTTGAGATTGTCTGAGCTCCTGTCTGTCACTTCCCTACTGTTGTCACTGTTCAGTAACTGATTTCTAAGCTTGTTTCATTTTGTTTTCTTTCCTGGAAGAAACTTCCTTCTTTTCTTGGCCAGGAGACAGCATTGAATTCTATCTAAGTCACCAGGCTCACTACAGTCGACCACAGTGTTAATCTCATTTTATACATCTTTGTCCTTCAGGCCGACTTTTCACTCATAAATGAGAGACGTGAACAGTTATATTTCATTCAAACTTACAGATTTCTTTAAAACTTTTTAAGATGTCCAAGGATAAATTACAGGATTTTGAGAAATGCTTAAGATTATTGTTGTGAAAATATTTTCAGGGCTTTTCAAAATTGAGCTCTACCTGAATTCCTATTTGTTGGAGAAAGCTTTCAGCTGTCTTTGCTGTTCTTCAAATTCTAAAACATAAACTTGAACAACGCTCTTAAGAAATAGTTACATAAATAGTTATTTGCAGCAATGGTTCTGGCAGAGGTGGGGAGTACCCCTCCCCTGTAGACACATGTACACATGCATTGTTAGAACTCTAGTGGACAGAGGCTGGTGAACTGCCAAATACAGTGATCAGAAATGGGGACAGTATCACTGTTGAGAAATGATCCATACATCAGTGGATGTAGATCTTTGTTGTTTTACTTCTCTTTCAAAAGATGGTAACAGAAGTATTTAAGGAAACGTTGGTTTCAGTGTTTAGGTCTGCCACCATGTGTTTTTGTATTTATTGTGGATTTAGTCATGCAACAGGAAAACTCTTTCCAAGCTTGGGCTCCATAGCCAGCAATTGTATTTCTCCCTCCTATCTGTGCCTTTGAAAAAGGAGCCTTGCTAGTTTTCATGTTGTGAGGGCAGGGAGGCTTAGGTCACTGTCTTTGAGAGCCTCCAGAGAACTGAGCATCTGTGAGTGTAGTATCTCTTCTGTAACATTTGCGTGTGTTCCTCTTGACCTTGAAGGACTTTGTGTTTTGGAGTATAATGGTAGGTGTCAGCTTATCCCTGCTTTATGTAATCCTGTGTGTTTGTGTGGACTGCAAATGCCGTCAAGGAGGAGGAGGCAGGATTGTGGAATTGCTTTCGAAGTTAGATTTGCTTTGTAGGCTGTTAAGGAAAAAGTCTTGTGCTGTGCCTGGTTTGTTGACACTGCTGTCTGAAGTTAGTATACTTAACCCCATGTTGTCTTTTAGTTATGTTTTTAATGAAAATGTTGTTGTGATAACTAATGGCTGATTTGCTATAAAAACAAAAATAACTTTGCTTGACTTTAAGGGACATGGTGAAATAGTGATATAACATGCTGTGTTTCTATTGGTCACAGGGTCTGAAGAGATGACTTATTAAAGAGTATTTGTTGTTCTTGTAGAGAACCCTGCTTTTGATCCATATACTTACCCACAACCATTTGGAACCCTAGTTCTAGGGAATTGGATGCTCTCTTCTGGGCACCATACATGCAAATGAGGCGTCTACATACATGCAGTCAAAGCTCTCAATTTTTTTTTTTTTTTTTTTTTTTTTTTTTTTTTTTTGAAAAATGCTAGTTTTTTGTGCCAAATGTCTTCTGTATTCCTTCCTGGTGATTCTGGTAAGGAGAAGTAGTATGGTTTCTTTCTAGATGGGTGCTAGTAAACTGTCCATATATATATTTCATGCCAGGAACGTTTGCCTCAATACTAGTAACAATGCTAATAATTAAAACCCTATAACCCATCACTGGCTAAACTCAAAACAATGCAAAGAAGGCAGAACATTATTCATTTCATGTTTAAAAGAGGTCCAGAGGGGCATTCCAGGTTTAGTGTATTAAACAAATGTCCAAGCCCAGCCTTTCCCCGTCAGAATGCTGTGCCAGCCTTGACTTGTGGCTTTCTAAGGTACTGGAGCTCATGTTCATTCAGAAGCTCTGACCTGCCCATTTGACTATGAGTACCTCAGCTTTGCTGGGTGACATTATGACTCAGGCCTGTCAGTCATATCAAGGACTGTTTGGTCACCACTATCTGGAGGTAGAACCCTTTATGTCGTAGACCTTCCCAGTGCAGGTACCAGCTGGCACTTGGCACTGCTCGCTTAGCTAGTCTGATGTAGGACAGCAATAGTATAAGGCAGGTGATGAAAATGCCTTCCTGCATCTGCCTGGAACTCTGCCCTGCACGGCTTGGGTTCTGTGCTGCTCTAGGGTTCCTGCTTCCTAACGGGAGTCTAGACACTCAGCACTTAACCTGATCTGTAATATCTTCATATCTATTTTCCAGCTAGTTAGAAGTTCTGAGAACCAAGACACTGCCCAAAGATGCACAACATGTCTCTGAACATCTTGTTAGCCAAAATTCAGTCACATAGCCATATGTGGTTTCAAGTAAGTCTGTTAAAGTCTTTTGGATAGAAGATAATGGACTCCGACCAAAACTGGGCTTTTGTTTATAAAGAATAAGGGCTAACTAATAGATTTTGAAACAGTCTTGTGAAAATAACAAAAATTAGTGACTGTAATCTCTTCTCCCCTCTTAAAGGTTTTGAAATAATGTGATTCTGTATGGTAACTGGTTCTGGGCCTCCTCTCCCTCCTTCCTTCTAACTTTCTCCTTGTGGTTTTACTGTCCCACCCCCTTCCAAAGCAAAACCAAATATTCTGTCTTCTTTTTTTTTTAGGACTTTCCGTGACATCTCTGAAGACCTGAAATCTTCAGTAGATTGACATGGCTTCCCTGCTGTGACTGCTCTGAGGAGTTCCACCTTGACAGTGAATTCTCCCAGCATGGCCTCTGTCCTGTCAACTGTGTCTGGCAGGCAGAGACACCTAAAAAAGAAGCAGAAGCCTCCCAGCCTTACATGCACAACACCGAGTGAGAGAGGACTTGCTCTAGGCTGCTTTGCGTTTGAAACACAGCTTGAGTTTGAAACTGTGTGTGCTCATAGCTCATGCTAAGATGCTTGAAAAGTTGCAGTTCATGCACTGGTACCAAGGCTTGAAATTGCCCCCATTGATTGTCTACTGCAGTGTGTATTTATAAAGTTACCTTAGGGATTCTAAAATACCTGCTATTAAAAGTATATATTCAGTGTAATTTTTCTTCCGCCTTAGGAATTCTTCCCCTTTTCAGGGATGAGGCTTTTGCTTTGGGGTATGGCTTAGTAATTAGGGGAAATGAGTCTGATACCCTTTTAGAACAACATTATCCCCTTCTTGGGAGGAGAAAGGCGTCTTAGAAGTGATGGTGGGGTATGTGTGCTATGACAGAAGAGAAGCAGTAGGAGTGCAGTCCTTCCTCCTTCCTCCCCTCCACCTTTCCTTTCAGGGTTGCCAAATTTCCACGACTTTCCTGACCACATTGGATGGAGATCCTTAGTGAGCTGCTGTGAATAGTAACAGTGTGGTAGCATCCATGCTGTCAACTTTCTTTTTTAAACTCTTTTACAAGAAGAGACTCTCAGGTGCAGTGGTCCTCTAGTTTGCTGTGTGTGTCCCCAGCTCTTTACTTAGAACTTTTTTTATGTTCTCTGCCACTTAGCACAGTGCCTTGCACATGTGACTCTAGATGAATGCTTGCTGGGTTGGACTATAATAACTTTGTATGTATCTCAGACATGGCATAACCAGCACAGTGCTTTACATTTTCAGCCCTTGTGCATGCTACTTCACACTCATTTCACATCAGCTCACTCAGCTCTGTATTCTCAACAGTGTCACACTTGTGAGGCCACTAAGCTTCAGGACAGTGGCCAGTGCAGAGTCACCAAGTGTTGTAAGACTTGGTCTCCCATCTTCTGACTTCATATCTGCAAACTCTTATCACAATGCAATTTTTAGGGCTTCAGCAATTTCCCAGTCCTGTGACCCAGGTGTTGTCATACATTCCTTGCAAGTGAAAGAAAGCTTTTTCAGCTTCATGACATGGTTGGAAGGAGAGCCAGCTGCTGTGCCCTGCCTAGCTGGCTGTTCAGACACCAGCCCTGCCCGTGCCCAGAGGGAATGTAAAGCAGGAGGGATTTGTGTCAAAGATTTTTTTGAAAGCACTTAAGACTAAAATTAATTCTTCCTAAAATATCTCACTAAGTTTATACATTTATTTATGTCATGAGTAATAAACCTCCTATGCTGCAGTGTCCTGACTTGGCTGTGTGCAGTATAGCACATGCAGGTCTCCTGGTTGTATCATGAATCCTTCAACGTCTATGACCTATTATTCCATTACCTGTTAGACTTGACCACTAGATCACTTACTCTGTCCTTTAATCAGTTGCCCACTTGCTCATTAACACATTTCTTGAGTATTAGTAAACTCTGGGCACCATGCCAGGGTGCTTTGGGAGATAACTCCAGAGGCAGCCTCTTACCTTAAATGCCAGCCCGATCATGTATCATACAAATCTAAAATTCTTATATTAAAATGGCTGAAGAGAGAAACCGAGTTTGTGTTTGTTTACCATAACCTGATAAGTTTATAGCTATAATTAGCATATGCTCAAAAGAGGCAAATACACTTATTGGTTGTGTACATATACAAGTTATGTTGCTCCAATGTGCTTTTAGCCATTTAGAAGCAAAATTGCAAAAAACCCAAGTTTGAGCTAATTCATAGCTGTTGGCATGATAATTCTCAATCTGAACATGAAATTGTTCACGGGGAACTTTGAACTTCCTAAATTAGTGGCACTGACCTAAGCCCTTCCTGAAATTTTAGGAGCAGAGGTCCCCACATTGCCACACAGCTCTGATCATACCACTCCATTACTACAGTGAATTCAGGAAGGCCACCAGTTGGGTAGGTTGGAACCAGAAAAGCACCCTGGCATATGTCAGGCACAGGGAGGAGGTTTTACAGTATTTTCCTAGAATAGATAGAGAGCAGGTATCATGACAAGGTAAGAGTCTTTAGATTAAGTCTCGTCTCTACCCTGAAGAGTTTGCATGGGAATTTTACCCAGGAAGAAGTTCCCTTAGGAACAGAGATGGTGTCTATGCCTGACTGGTGTTTTTTTTTTTTTTTGGGGGGTGTGTGTGTGTGTGTTGTGTTTATGTGTGTGTAGAATGCATCCATGAAGCAATAGTAGCTTCAGTGAAACTGAGGACAGAACTCTGTCATAGCATCTTCGATTGTATAGATACGTTAAGGGTTAGTTTTCAAGTTCCCATTCATTGACAGTCATTAAATGGAATGGGTACAAGGGGAACTGGGATGCTGTGTGTACCCATCTCCTAATTTTGATATGAGAGGACGGGTTCAGGGTTGGAAGCATAAATCATGTTACATCCCTTCTGCCTGAATCTCACACTCTTATTTTTAGTTCTATTGGCCTCTTTGGCTGCCAGTGTTAGATATTATTAAAACTGTGAATCTCCTAACCCTTCTTCCCCAAGACCTGGCTGCTTTCCTTTGAACTCTGAGATGAGTCTGGGTTGGCACTTGACTGTGGAAAGGTGCCCAGGATGTGTTATGTGGAGACCCTGTGTCCAAACTGTGGCTTTGGTGATGGCAGCTGCTTGTCCAGTATACAGGCAGTAAAGAACTTGCAGGACAGGTCTTCTGGCTAACCTTGGCCTTCATAAGAACTCTCCATGCTTTCTCAAGATTCTGTGCTCCTCCATTTCCCACTTTGGTTAGGTGCCTATTTCAGAAGTGTGGCAAGAAATGCTAGGAACTCAAGGCCAATCAGGCTTAGACTAGAATACATAAAGTAGGCTTTAACCTAGTTTATGAGAAAATGCCCTCAGGACTTCCCATACTCCAATCCTGACATTTCAGTACCTTCTGAGGGTCTCCTACAGCCTTTCCAAGAGTATTATGGTTGGACTTTGAATGCCCTTTTCACACTAAAAATCATTTATGGCAACATACTTTCAAATTTTAGTTCCTGCAAAGAACAGCTACTATTTATTTTGTATTTATTAATTATTTTATCAGTTTCTTATCTTTGCTATTTTTGTCATCAAATGTGTTTTTTTTTTTTTTAAACTCACTGAAGTCTGGGGAAAACACCTATCTGAAGCCACTAAGCAAGCAGCTTTCTGGATAACTTAAAAACACAAGAGAATTGTAGGTGAAGATTCTTCTTACAATTACAGAAGTTTGGTGCTTGAATGGGCTGTTATAACGAGATGATGTGGTTTTAGAGAAGAACAAATTTATGGATAAAATAGCTTATGGTATAGAGCCAGTTAGCAACAGAATTCAGAGTGGAATATGTATCCTCACCCTGTCAGCCCACCTTCTTCTGCTTTTCTTCCCTTTCCCTCATAGCTCAACTACTTTTGTCAAAAAAGATGATGTTGTATATAGCAGTCATTTGCAGAATTAATACAGAAAAAAAAAACTGCTGGAGCAGAGAGGTTCCATGGTCAATTAATATTGAGGAATGCTGTTACTTCCTTTCCCTGGGATGTTTTTATTATGCCATGACACATAGTAAATTTAAGAGAAACAAAGTGTTTCGTTGTATGTTGTGCCTCTGTCCTTCCCTGTCCCCCTTTCTCTGAGAATCTCAAAAGACCAGGGGTCCTTTTGAGCTTTTGATCGAGTTTACAGGTCTTGTAGAAGACAATTGCTAGTGAGAATACTGGCAGTACCTGTGTTACTGTGCTTCCATGGGATATCTGGTAAGACATCAGAAAGAAGACACATTGCTGCCCAGAGCTGTACTTGAAGGAAAGATGTTCTTTCCCAGCTGTGGCACAAAGTCATTAACCCCTAGTTATCCAAGAATCACTTAAATTGCAAATACACTGGTGATGTTGGTACTGCATCTTAGCAATGCTTTTGTATGGCACTTTATAATTTTCAGGCACCTTTGGGTTCAACCCCGTGAGCTAGATAGTATTACAGTCATTGTTCAGATGAGGCACTGGAAGCTCCAAGAAGTGTGTTGTTGTTGACCCCTTCTTTTCTCTCTCTTGCCCTCCCTCTCCTAAGTTTAGATCACAAAAAGATGGAGCCAGAATTTTGTTACAGTCTCTGACTCCAAGTCCAAAGTTCTTTACACCGGTTTTTCCTTCTAGCTTTATGTATATGACAAAGGTATGGAAACAGATGTAACAGTGTTTTTGCTTATTGTGAAATACAAATTCTTTTGTATTGAAGTGACCCAGCAGTGTAACTCCTACTGTAGCTGTCCTGTGTCCTTGCAGTGGTACTTGTTCAGGTACTTGGCTTGTACTTCAAACACTGTTTGATTATGAAACTAAGATTAAACATATTGTTGTAATTATTTAGCTCTGAAAATGTATCGCCTCTGCATTCTCAGGTGAAGGAGAGAAATGGTTTGACAGGAAAGCTAGCATTCAAATGCAACAATTAATATCCTTTATTACATAAATGTTTCTTAGCTTTAATTTGCTTTCACAACTTACTGATGTAACAACATCTTTGTAAAATGTAATATATTTCTATTTTGAAATAAAGTCACAAATTGTTGGATGAGATGGGTAATAAGCTTTGCCATTTATTTATTTATTTTGAGAAATTTGACCTTTATCCAGACTTTCCCTGCATATACTACCTTGGGTGCCAGAATTTTTGTGAAATTTGGTCATCTTACATGAGGGAAACTGACTGGGGAGTGATGTTTGTACCTTAGAGAAGCCAGAGGGTCCATAGCTGAGGCAGGAGTCCCCAGTGCATTGGAGAGAGGCAGCGTTGTAGATAAAGTGTGAGGATGGTGATTGAAGGTAAAACTTGGAAGACAAGTTGCCTGCAGTTAAGGCTATATACTGCTCTTCCAGAGGAACCAAGTTAGATTCCTAACACCAATATTGGGCAGCTGGTAACCCTGAAGCCTGTAATCTAATCTTTTCTTTCTTTTTCCTTTTTGTCTTTTTTTTTTTTTTTTTTTTTTTTTTTGAGAGAGGGTTTCTCTGTATTGCTTTGGTGCTTGTACTGACACTCACTCTGTAGAACAGGCTGGCTTCAAACTTACAGAGATCCTCCTGCCTCTGCCTCCTGAGTGCTGGGAGTAAAGGCGTGCACCACCAATGCCTGGCCAAGAGCTCTTCTCTTTAAGGGAGAAAAGAAGTCTGAGTTTTGCTATCTCCATTACCACATATTGCTTTGGCAGATGAAACTGAACCCTGCAGGTTTGCTTTCAACACTGCAAGTTGAGCCCATCAGTCTAACTTAATTGATGGAGAAAGCCAATCTCAGCTTCCTTTTTGCCTTAGTAGATGCTTGTTAGCAGCTATGATCCTTCAAAACTACATTCTTGTGCTTCTCAGTTGCTTAAGTCTAGAATCCTTCCTAAGGTGCAGCCTTTTGAAAGCCTTCCTTGGCTTTGTTCCTGGAAACTGGAAGAAAAGGAGTGTTGGCCCTCCCTTTCATCACAGGGATTCTGTGTGAGCTCATGGTTGGACTGAGAATGGATTCTTAGCCTTAAGTGACTTCAGTCAGAAATACATGCAATCTTTTCTTTCAAGGAGCAGTTAACATGCTAGTAGTACTTGGCTAATGTTAAAAATAATTGCAAAAATATTTTTTAAAAAGATATCTACCAGTGCATGCAACTTTTTGTTTTAATTCGCTTGAAAGTGAATTCTAAAGATGCTGCCTGCAAGAGCCACAGCCTTCTTGCTGAGTATCAAGATGCTTATGTGAATGTATTATCAAATATTTCAACTCCGTGTGAAAAACATAATCAGAAAATAGGAGTGAAGGGGAAACCGGACGGGCCTTCCTGGGAAGCCATGGAAAGATAATTCCAAGTATAATTGTCATCTCGGGGCACAGGTTCCCTACCATTTTCAACCACATCCAAACTTGTAGAAATAGTTATGGGAATTCAGAATTGACTTCTGAGGCAAATGGATTTGGTGGGAAACTGCTGGGGACAGTTGCCTTCTGGTGAGAGGTTAAGTGAACATGGGGAGGCCCTCAGGTATCTCGTTTCTCCTGGTTTTAGGTAAAATCTGTTTTGGCACTCACGCCAGAGGAAAGAGGCACTGGTGCGGCCTTCCGGGCGGGAGGGGTGGGGCTCCCAGGGGTTAGGGTGGAGCTAGAGGGGGGCGTGCCTCCCTAGAGGCGGAGCTGATGAGCCACAACTGGCGCTTCAGACTATGGTGGGAGGGGCCAATAGGGGAGGTATGGCTGGGGGGCGGAGCTAGCGAGGGTGGGGTGGCCTAAGGGGCGGGGCGGGGGCGGAGGTTCCCGCGTGGGGGCGGGGCTATGGGACCCGGGGTCGCATGGAGGCGGGGCTGAGGCGGCGGCACAAGGCTAGGGGAGGGGCCTCGGTGCAGCGAGGCGGCAGGCGACCGGCGGGCTAGTTGGCGGGCCCCGCACTGGTGCGGAGAAGGGGCTGTACGACCGGTGCAGGGCTATGGCCGCTTCTCCGGTCCCCGGCGGAGGCGGTGCGGGAGCTGTCCACTCCTCCAGTACATCTGGCTTCGCCTTCGACTCGGGACTGGAGATCAGAACGCGCTCGGTAGAGCAGACGCTGCTGCCCCTGGTATCTCAGGTACTGCGGCCCCGAGTCCCCGTGTGCACGGCCCGCGATGGCGGCTGCCGTTCTTCCCCGGCCCAGCACGGCGGGGCGGGAGGCGGCGCTGTCCCGCATTCCGCGAGCGCGGCGGCGGCGCGGCAGGACTCGCGTGGGGGCCCGGGGCGGGGCGGCCACTCCTGGGCGCGCGGTGAGGCGACCGAGCCTAACAGGTGCGTTGTCTGGCCTAGGCGGCCGGACTCGCCTGGTGCTATGGCTTCTGCCTAATGAGGCCCAGCCGCGGGACCGTAGGACCCCTGCAGGGTCCCCTAGCTCCCAGAGCCTAGGCGGCTGCAGCTGCGCAGTCCGCCGCCACCACTGTCCACATCCCATGCCAGACCAGGGCGCTGGACGCAGACTAAGGCACTACAGTTTGCCTCCAACTCTGGCATGTTCTCCAAGGCCTTTGTCCGGTTCACTTGGCTGTGTGTGTGCTCACTCAACTCCCATCCCCTTTGGCCACCTATCGTGTCCCTCTCCGTCACTTGCCTGCCCATCTCCGTGTGTGCCTGCAGAGTGACGGGGGAAGGAGTGCTTGAGGTTTAATCCCGATGCACACCTTTTTGCCAGGTCTTAGTTGGAATTAGTGCATTATTGTATTTGTGGGTTATAAAAGGAGTCTAGAATCAGCCAAGTGATGTGCTGAATAAAAAAAGAAAGGTTTGTTTCTCCGAGCTGAGGTATACATAACCCGAGGGCTAGAATTCCTCACCTACAGCTGTGGTACTATGCCAAACACCAAGTGAAGAATTTTGTCTTTGGCTGCACGTTGGCTATGGGTGACTCATACTAAGCTGTAACATCTTGGTGACTCATGCCAGGATTGCCAAGATTTTAGAGGTAGTCTTAAATTATCTGACTCTAAATTAAAAAACAATTTCTTACAACATCCTTCACACCTGGCCGCTGAGGCCTTACATAAACACTTTTAGTGAAGGGGAGATTGTCACTATTCCATAGACTTTTAAATGTTGCCTCTGTGCCAGCCCGATCCCAAAAATATTTGAAAGTTGTAGTTGTATATGTCGCCTGGATTATCCCCATTTTTCTCCCTGCATCCTGTGATTAGTTGAACAGTGGTGATTACACCCTGTGGCGCTCCCTCTTCTGAATATTGGTTGTATGGATCAATGGAAAGAGTGCTGTTGTACCTTTTCATTGTCTATACTTCCTTCCACCCTGAAGGTCTCCCCCCACACCCCTATCAGCAGGACAACCACAATCCATAAGTGGCAAGAAATGCCCACTTTTACAAGGGAGAGAGATGAGAGTGATGGACTTGAAATTGATAGTGTTTTATCCATCTGTTTAAAAATCAGTGCAGGTTGTGTTTTAAGCACTTTGCCAGTGCTAACTTATTTAACTCTTGCCCACCCATGAGGTGAGATATATGCATATTCTCATGGGGCAGATGAAGAAATTGAGGGTTAGTTAGATCAATTAACCTGTTATTAACGAGTTCAACTCTTAAATGACAAATTGCGGTTTGAATCCAGGCTGCTTGGCTCCAGTAGTCAACTTTTAGCTACTCCCGTGTCCCTTTCAGAAATTAGAGGAGGGGATGAGGTCAGCGCAGAGTGGTTACAAAGAAAATGTTTCACAGTAGAAAAACTAGCCAGAGAGCTGCAATCTGTAAAAACAGTAACATTGTATAGTAGCATTGCTAAAAATTTACCAGTACTACATACAGAGCTTTATTTTTATTCTGCAGTATGGAGAGTAGAAGAGGAAAGGTATAATCAGCTGCTAAAAAAATTAGCTAGAAGGGAAAACACCCCTCCCTGCTTGGTATGAGGTCTTATTCAGTCAGGATCACAGCTGAGATTCTGCACACCGTATTTGTATCTCTGTCAAGGTCCACAATCGATAGGCTTAATGGTAGACTGTTCTTTTCTTTTCTTTTTCTCTTATTTATTTATTGGTTTTTCGACAGGGTTTCTCTGTATTGCTTTGGAGCCTGTACTGGAACTTGCTCTGTAGACCAGGCTAGCCTAGAACTCACAGAGATTCTCCTGCCTCTACCTCCCCAGTGCTGGCATTAAAGGTGTGCACCACCAACACCCAGCTAATGGTAGACTGTTCTTAAGGAGACAAAGTTAATTTCCAAATAGTCTCAAGAGATGCATAAAGCATGGCTATGATGCTTTATTAACAAGTCAGGAATCACAGAAAGATAATTTAGACAGATTTTAAAGTTTCAGTGAGGTTAAAATATTAAAACTGGGGCTAGGGATATAGTTAAGTTGGGGTGCTGGCCCTTGGTTGATTCCCAGTATCACAAACATGCTGGTGGCTCATGCAAGTAATCCTAACACTCAGGAAGTAGAGAAAGGAGAATTAAGAGTTTGGGGCCAGCCTAAATTGTATGAGATTGTGGTGTGTGTGTGTGTGTGTGTGTGTGTGTGTGTGTGTGTGTGTGTATGAGTGTGTGAGCATGTGAGTGTGTGAGCGGGAGCAGGGAGTGGTTAGCTCTCTAGAAAATTCCCATGTCCAAATGTTTTTCTCCCATAGATACAGCACTATTATCCAACTAATTTCTCCCCAAGAATATTTTAAGTACTTCAAGCAAGGATTTATCGCACACTTAATAGTTGCTGCTCTTTAAAGGGCATATATTTTAGTTGGAAAGTAGGACAGGTATAGCATAGCAAACACATGCCAAGTATCAAATGAGTATTATCAATAATATATGCTCTGAGAGCTCAAATGCTTGAATCAGGGATGATTCTGAAGGAGACAGGGTTTGAGGTAAACCAGTAAGACTAGCACTGTGTAAAGTAGATAGCCTTTATTTTTGTGTTACTTCACTGCTGACTCTCCCAGGGAAAGTCTTGATTTTTAGGTCTTACTGTAGGAAAACAAGGTTTTGTCAGCATCAGAAAATACAGAGTGTCCTCTCTTTGCAGACTAGTAATGAAACATCTTCACAGCAATGGATAAAGAATCTTCCCATCCA